ATTGGAATTTGACACAACACTGTAAAATGATTATGAATTAATAAAAATGTAAAAAAAAAAAAAAGAAATACTGGAAGCACAAAAAAAAAAAAAAACAGATAAAAGCATACAAAACACACACCTTCATAACTAGAACACAAAAGAACATTAAAACTTCAAATTACTTACAAGCAAAAAAATAAACACTAAGTCCCAGGGAGCTATCTTTCATGCAAGCCTTCACACAGTTTGGGGACACGTAGATGGAAGAAAGAAAAAGGAAGCTAGCAGCTGGCGTAGAACAACTGCCAGATTCAAATGAACACTTACTAAGGGGCACTGAAGAAAACCAAGAAAACAACCTAGAGCATGAAAATGAAATAAAAAAGTATGAAGAAGTTGTTGAAATGGAAAACAAGCAAATATCCAATTGCGTATAATTTACATCTTAAAGAAGATAAACAAAACAATGAAATAAAACCAATACTCAAAACTATAATAAAAGAAAACTTTATAGAAATAAAAGATCTGAATACACGTATAGAGAAGGATAGAAAAGGACCAGGCACTAGAGAAAATTAACCCACAAGACATACTACTAATACTATTAAGTTACAAAGATAAATTCCTCAAGATCTCTAAGCAAAATAATCAAATAATTTACAAGGGCAAGAGACTGGGATCACTTTTGCAGCAACATGGATGGACCTGGAGATTGCCATACTAAGTGAGGAAAGCTTTCTAGAAAGAGAGAAAAATATCATATATGTGGAATCTAAAAAAAGGACACAAATGAACCTATTCACAAAACAGAAACAGACTCACAGACATAGAAAACCAACTAATGGTTACCACTGGGGGGGGGAAGCGGAGGGATAATTCGTGAGTTCCAGACTTGCAGATACTAACTACTATATATAGAATAGATAAACAACAAGGTCCTACGGTACAGCATAGGGAACTAACTATATTGACTATCTTGTAATAGCCTATTATGAAAAGGAATATGTGTGTGTGTGTGTGTGTGTGTGTGTGTATAACTGAATCACTATACTATACACTAGACATTCACATAACATTGTAAACCTACTATATTTCAATTTAAAAAAAGAGACTGACATCAGCCTTCTCAAAAACAACATCAAGGCAAGAAAACAATGGAGCAGCATTTTCAAAAAAACATAGGAAAGAAAGTGAGAACCAAGGCTTTTTATATCCAACCAAGCTGTCCTTCAAGTATAAAAAGGCCATAGGAAAAGAGTTTAAACATTCAACAGCCAAGGAAATTCTATACCCTTTAAGCCTTCTTAAGAAATTTACTAGAAGACAACAAAGGGACTGGGTAGGAATGACACTGCTGAGTATATCTTTTCATACAATTCTGATTTGGAATCATTGTAATATTTCACTACACATATAGACACATGCAAAACAAGAATGGATTTTTAAAAAAAGAAATGAACAGAATGTACAGCAAATGAATAACACAACCACAGTAAGTGGGGGGAGGGTGTAGATAAATAACCCAGATCACCTTTGAGTACAGTGCATTTTGCCCCAAATGTCCTCAGAATGTTAAAACAAACAGTGAGCCCTAAATTCAAGCCTCCTTTTTCACAGAGCAGAAGTCTGAGCTAGAAATTCTAAAACTATATACCATGTGTATACTAGAACTGAGCAAATAAGCAAAAATATTTTGAATAATGAGAGTCAGCTTTTCATGGTCAGAGAAGGGAGTTATAAATATGGAAAGTGGGAAGGACAGAATAAACCCTTACTGAATTGAAATGAGAAATACCTGAAAGAACATACATAGCAGTTTGTGGTTTTAATAGAGAGAGACACAGATGTACACAGTGGTACACATATATATGTGACATATGCACACATGTATACTCTATTATATGAGTCTGTGTATATACATACATTTATAGAAACATACATACACACATATGCATATGCACATACATCTATTTCTTAGCTCCACCCACTGGGACCTGGAAGAAATGACATTCCAGTACCAGTGACCACATGAAGCATCTAGATCTGCTTGGTGGACCCAAGGCTAAAAAGAGCCAAGGATTCTAAATGGCTGATTTCAGGTCCAGGGCAAGGAACATGTAAGATGAGCCCTGAACATCTTACTGTACTAGAAAGCAAGAAAATGTTCGAACAATGATGGAGATATATAATAAGGACCCATGAGCCAGCTTAAAGGGGCTTCCACTGGCCAAATCTGGGACAACTGAGTATCCACTGTGAACATTTGCGTAAACATCCTTCCAGAAGCCTCTCTATACACAAAAGGATACAGCACAGATCAAACTTTAAATACAATCATGTACTTCCTGTCCTATACCCTGATTTTTCCACTCAATGTTATCCTGTGCATATCATTCCATACACACACATACACATTTACATTCCATAACAAAGCTATCATCACTACCTCAAGCAGTCCTACAGCTATGGAAAGTGCCACCCCAGAGGAACGCAAGGGTCTCTTTCCCTGTGGTACAGGCCAAGGGTCTCGCTGCAGTTCTCCCAGAAGATCTGTGAGATTCATGTCTATTTTCTGTACTGGCTGCAAGAATCTGCAAAACAAAATCGAATAAAAGGCCATTTATAAATGTTTGTGGATGAGGGTTTAAGAAACAAATTGTCCACTTCCTAAAAAATAGAGAAAAATAATTTGAATACACAGTAGACCAATGGTTTTCAAACTTTTGTGTATATCAGAATCGGTGGGAGGACTCGTTTTAACATAGATTGCTGGTTCCAGAGCTTTGTTTCAGTGAGTCGGGGGTGGCGACCAAGAATTTGTATTTCAAATAAGTTCCCAGACGATGCTGTCTGCTAGTGAGGAACCACGCTGTGACTACAACTACTATAAGTGAAACACTCAAACCAAGTATTACCTTAGGACTGCATCTTTCATCTACCAATATAGTTAAGTTTTTTTTATTTTATTTTGCGGGGAGATAAATAGGTTTATTTACTTATTTATGTTTAGAGGCGGTACTGGGGATTGAACCCAGTACCTCGTACATGCTAAACATGCACTCTACCACTTGAGCTATACCATCCCCCCCAATCTGGTTAAGTTTTAAGGTTACTGAATTAATTATGAGAAGACACATCAACTCAATTTTAGTAATACCACCTCTTATTAGTAAGTTTAGTGGAAAAAGCTACCTATAAGGCTAAGAATGCAAAACAAAAAGTTTTGGGGGCCCTACTTTTGCTTGGCTCCTCTCAACCACAAAAATTAAGTTTTCCTGAGCATAAAAATTGAAAATCAGACATATATCAAAACTAAAGTAACTCCTTACATTGTGATGAGAAACTATTCATTTCAGTGATGTAATTCTACCTCAACTCTTTTAAAGGCTAATGCAATATTTCTAGTCCTAAAAATATTTAACAATATATTATCACTGAATGTCTATGTTCAAGTTAAGGGCATGGGATGCTTAAAACAGCTGCATCAATCATAAAATTGTCTTTGCCATATTTAATTATTACCTATTGGAAGGAGGTGGCTGTTGTACCTGAGGACCACGTGTTGCTTGAGTAACTGGTACTTTAGAGAGCCCCAGCATTTCCTGTAAAGAGATAATTTCTGTGATATCCATGTAATTACTCCTACAAAGATGTATCAACTATTTACCAAATGCAAGGTGTTTCCCTAGGCATCAAAACACAAAAATAAAGAACACAAAGTCTCTTCCTCAGAATGCAAAAGGTCCAGGTGGGGAGACTGTCAGGTAAACAGCAATACAATGAAGTAATCATCGTAAGACAGCAAAGTACAAGGTGCTATGTGAGCAAAGAGACACACTAGCTCAGAAACACTTTATTCCTAATTAATAGTCAAAAGAAATTACTGTGTAACTTGAATGTCTATATTTCTTATCTTGTATTCATTCATCCCCTTCAGGAAGTACATCTCAAGTACCTGCTATGTGCCAGGCATTTAATGGTGAAAAAAATATACAGTCCCTGACCATCTGAAAATTAAATCCTGGTAAAACAGGTGAGTTAATATCTTTAAGTAACTAAGTGTAAAACTGCAACTGTAATAAATATGAAGGAAAAATACATGGAATGGTATAAAGGATGGTTACAAGGTACACACACCTTGTACATGTATGCTTGTTCATTTTCTGACTTAATGCCCAACCAAACTTCTAGTTTTGATTTGAATTTTAGACGTGTGCACAGTTCCTCTCCAGACACATGAAGATAACGTTATTTTCCAAAAATTGGCTTGAATCTAGAAATGCTTAGTCATGAAGTAACAGAATAAAAGTATACAAGAGAAAATCAGAAAGTCTAAAGATTTGGGAAAAAAATTATTGAACCAATTCTGCAGTATTTCCTATACTGCTAGCAGGAATAGCAACTTTTCACTGAGGACTTAACTATGTATCAGATTCTGTGCTAAACTCTTTATATATACTATTTCCTCACAAAAATAATGAAGTAGGTTTTTTTAATCCCTGCTTTACAAATGAAAACTGACACTCAGAAGGGCTAAGTAACTTACTTAAGGTTATACAGTTATGAAGCAGCAAAGCAAGATATTAGTCCAGGTTTTGCTACAAAGCTCTGTAAGCGTTTACACTATTGAGTACTCTCACTTACATTATCTCATTTTGCACTAATAATAACCTGGCAAAACAGGTACTGTTTATCCCTTTCCACAGAGGATGAGAAAACAAGCAAAGAGATCACCCCAAGATCACACAACTAGAAGAGTTTAAGATTTCAATCCAGGACTATTTGGGGAGCAAAGATCAGACTCTTTTCAACAAGATGGACAGAGAAGGAAGATAAAAACATTTTAAAGGAGGGAAAAAACTTTAGTCAGCAGGCATTCACTGCTTGTTGCAGAAAGGCAGATGTTTCATGTACTATAAAATTTAAGTAAAATGTACTCTATAATCAGAACTACTAATAAACCACTTTAAATAAATCTACAGTTTAAAAAATAACAATATAGCAAATACTTAAAAGCACAATCCATTTAACTTTCATGACTATCCGGTAGACACTTTTGTTATCTTTTTACAGATGAAAAAACCTAGGCAGAGAGAGGTTAAAACCTGCCCTCTCTCTCTCTTGTCATGGAAATAGACGATCCTCACTGTGCTTCCTATGCTCTTGAAGGAATCCCTAGTGTGTCCTGTGAAACCTCACTCTTCATCTCCCTCTAGCTCTCACTCACCCTCTTTAGTCTTTCTTCTGTGCATAAACACATTCAAGTGTCCCTCCTAAAGTAAAACTCAGTTCTTGCTCTCTCAAATTCTCACACTACCGCCTTCTTGCCTTCAACAGCAAACCTCTTGAAAGAATACAAACTAATTTTCTCCACTTTCTCAAATCTTACTCACTACTCAGTCACTACTGTATACTCTGTTCAGTACTCTCCCCCTTCGAACCTGCAAATTCCTCCAGGATTTTCTATCTCAGCTAACTGCAGCACCACTAGCTCAGTCTGCTAAGCTTCAATTAGAGTCATCCTCAGAATCTTTCTTCATTTTGGGATCCCCAACAGCCTCCAAAGTCTGATTTAATGTTTGTCTACTTTATGCAAGGCTTACCAACCATCTTCTAGGGTAATTTCTCAACTGTGGGTTGTATCAGAATCACTTAGAAAGTTTTTCAAAACACTTACAGGAACAGTCTCTACCCTCCCAATCACCTTCCAATATAAGCACATATTCACCCACTCACTGATAATCTATCAAAATCTCTGCGCAGAAAAAAGATTTGAAAATTATCCCAAGATGATCCTAGTATGTTACACAAAACTCCCTACCTTGGAAGACAAAGCTTCAATTTGTCCCAAAGATTAAAAATGTCCTAGTAAATGAAAAAATATATACACTCATGATTTACCTATAAACTCTCAAGCCTTAAAATATCTCCCCCTGTCAAACATAATAAAAGTGTTTAGTTCCTAAGTGAGACGTAAAAAAACAAAAGCTAAAATTCTGTGGTTGCCTTCTCTCAATCTTTAGCATGACTATTCTCTAAGCCCTTCAAATCGCTAAAATACCTTCCATTTCACTCTAAATTTTAAAGTTAATTTAAAAGTGAAGGGTCTTTAACCTGTACAATAACAATTTGAGGCAAATGAAAGAAAGCTGATGCCAACACTAAATCTAAAGGCTTTCTTACAATTATATAGTTATTCATAATAAAAATATTTTCTAGAAACTTATATCCAGAAGGCATTTATAGACGTTCATAGAGTAATGCTCACAGACAGGCTGAAACTACCATTCTTGTTTACCTGCAGTTGTTTGGCAGACAGATCTTTTGTTCCTCTGAAGACATAGCTTTTTGAAATGCCCTCACATCCAAGTTCATGAACCTGCACCATTCTCCCAAAAGTAATAAGTCCAACCAAAGCTGTCGGTGGCAAAAGACTTAATGACATCTGCATAGATTCTTTCAAGGCTTGTAAATCTTCATCTTCCATGCAAGTATCAACCACATAGAGGAATATCAAAGGCATCTGAGGACCACGCTTTTAAAAAAAAAAAGTTGTTTTAAAAGTGTTAATACTTAAGCACTATATACAAGGATAACCAATAGAGGACTAATTAATAATTTACACTTATACAAATGAATCCTAATAAAGCCATTTCAGAAATGAAACAGGTTATATATATCCGTGGAGAGGTATCTATGACATCATCAAGTGAAAAAAATTGAGCTCAAAAACATTATAGTTACATAGAGGTTATCTTCACTTTCAACTTTATTTAACTGCATGAGGTTTCATTTCTTATAACAAGCAATTAGTTCTTTTAAAATAAGAAAACAGTAACTATAGGGGGTTGGGTACAGCTCAATGGTAGAGCACATGCTTAGTGTGTATGAGGTCTTGGGTTCAATCTCCAGTACCTCCATTAAAAAAAGAGATCAGAATTCACACAAATGAAATAAAAATCTAATTCTGCTACCCCCCCCCAAAAAAAGAAGAAAGAAAATAATAATTACAAAGCTTAAAAACAAAATGAGGGGATTTTTTTATATGATAATTATCTAACCTAAATTAGATTGTAAGAGAACTGGAAATTAGCCAGGCTGGACAAATTACTGACTAGCTCAAGTGAACCATATTCTGCTTTCTCTACAACATTCGTAAAAGATATTATTTTAATACTTAAATATGTACACAACTAAGTAAAGCTGCTCAGGGAGGGAAGAAAAATTATTTTCCTAATAAGGACCAATGCAAGAGTAGTTTCATCATTAGACTTGAGGATCTATCATCAGGCTCCAGCATCATATTGACTAAGTATTTGTGAAGTGACCTTCCAACTATAAAGTAAGATTGATACTTTACTGTTTATTGACCTATTTAGTACAGCAAATCACACCAGCCCACCCAAATAACTACAACAGAGAGACTACCTTGCTCAAATTGACCTTGACAGTTTTTACCTTTGAAATGTTCCCTTAACTCAAAGAGAGAATCAAGAGTGGTGCCTTTTAAGTCAGCTCAAGTTAACAATTATTTTGATATAAAGTAAATTACTGGATATTTAAAACTTTCTAAAAGATTTACTCTTATGTTCTTACCAGAACTACATATTCAATGCTGGAAAACTGAGGTAAAAGTTCAGCAGGTTGGTTCAGTTCAGATATACCAGCGTAAGTCGGTGGAAACTATAAGTTAAAAAAAAAAAAATTCTAACAAATTTGCGAGTAGTTAAATTTTACACTGAAAATAATTATTTCCTGATAATTTAATTATTAAAAAATAGATATTTTCATCATACAAAAAGTTACTCAGCCTTTATTTTTAAACATACATTTTTCCACATATTTAGACCAGTATTATAGGAAACATCTGCAATGGGGTTTTTCTTACCTGATTCCTTTGATAACAAAAGTTGCAAGCCCAGAGTTTTGCTCGATAATCCACTTGACTGTTTTAAGAAAAGATACAATAGCTCATGGTTTAGTTCAATTATACAATAATCCTAATTTTAATAAAATTAATTTTTCTGAAATATGAATGCATTCAAATTGATAGTCAAAGCAATCTTTAAAAGCCATGTATTTTTAGGTGTTGCCAATATTTAATTCCCACTTTTAACACATACAAGTTCTCCAAAAAGAATATATTGTACCTTTTAACACATAGCAAATACCAACAATAAAATTAAGATACGCCTACTTTTTCTCATTTTCAAATGACTCAGTAACTTCCATACTCAGATCTATAGGACATTTATTCAATAAAAATATATTTATTGAATGCCATTATTCTAGGTACTGATAAAGCATTAACAAGAAATCAAAGGTGGCTACTATCATAGAGCTTATATTCTAGAAGAGAAAGATAAGACAATAAACAAGTAAATGCATAAACACAGAAGACACTTTTAGATAGTGATAATAAAGATGAAAGAGAACAAAGCAGGACATGAGAATGTGTGTGGGAGGGCTACTGTGGTAGAAATAAGTTAAGATATATTCAAGGATCAAAGAAAGGGTAAGGTACAATGCAGAAGAGAATAAAGGAAATGGATGATACAAGATGAAGGCAGAAATACACAGAGGCTAGATCATATAAGGCTTTACAGGTCTTGAAAATAGGTTTGGATTTTTCATCCCAAGTGTAACAAGAAGCTATTGAAAGATTTTAATAATCTGATATCCACTCGTGAAACAGTATATCCTGGAGAATATACTGTTGAAAGGCAAGAATGGAAACAGGAAGACCAGTTAGGAGGATAGTGAAACTATCCAGGAAAAAGATGGTACACCTTGAAGTACCAGCAGAGATTGAGAATAAGAGATAAAATCAGAAATGTTCTGGAGATAGACTTGACCAGATTTACTAGTAGATTGGGTAGGGAGAGAGGGAGTAGAAAGAGGAATGAAAAGTGATTCTTGAGAATCTGGTCTATGTAACAGGAAATCATAACACTTTTCAAACACCATACCACTCAACTATGACTTTTTCAATGACACAAGATGAGTTGATACATATCCTGACATCAGTATCTAGAGAATACTCATAGGGTCAAGCCATTTACACAGTGACAATTTGGCATTTGCTTTCTTATCAACTCATTACAACTAGAAAGATCCTAAAATGTTACAGCTCTTTGGATCTGACTATTTTAATTTGAAAAAATAGCTAAAAACCAAAACAAAGATATTCTTATATAGAGCAAGAAAGAAACTACATTTTTAAAAGAATCATACTGACACAGTTTTTTTCCATACACTTTAATTACCATAAGGGATTCAAAACTGCACGGCAAGTGGTCCTACTACACAGGACAGGTTCATATTGAATAGGTGGCAGATCCGGTCTCTCCTTCAGTGGTGTAAATAGGGCTGCTACTGGAACAACCATTCTTGTAGCTTCTAGTCGACTTGATGGCCAAACATTCCAACTAAATCGGACTCCATCTCGTTCTTCATTTTGTTGAATGAATTCCAAGTAGGTTGTCATTGTAGAGCTTTATTCTTATTTCTGTAACAAAATTACAAATATTCCAAAATCCTCTTAAGACAATTCAAAATAAGTAAGTTTTTCCCACTTCCACCAATATTAATTCATTAGAAATCATGACCAAATGAAAATATTTACACCAGAAAAAAAATCAGTAAGCAACAATGACCTCATTTATAACTAAATAACTCTACAGAACCCAATGGCCATTGGGCCCAATAAGAGGTATTTTATCCTTTTTGATTCACTCTTGAAAAAACTAAGGCAAAAAATAATGAATACTAAAATAGAGGTCCTATTTGAGGCAAAAATGGGGGAAAATCTAGATCCCCTGTTTTCCACATCAGTCTTGTGAGTTATAGTATTCTAATAAACAGGTTATCAAAAACATTAAGTTCTAAAATTCACATGCTTTTCTACCAGAAAATAAGAAGTTTCCATTAAACTTGCTAGAAGAGAATATTCAGGGATATATAACAAAAAGATTTTTCTAAAACTGGATACATAATATTTGAGACAGGTAATTTTTTATCATGCAAATACAGGACATTTGAGAAACAATAAATAAGTGTGTAATAAGTGGTGTTCCATATGATTTATATGCTATTTCACCTCTTTTGCAGAAACTTAATTCAGAATACTTTTAACATTCCAACTTATGAGAACATTTTAAACTCAATTTGAGATATATACTTTCAATATAATCATTTAAATTTGCTACCAGAGGAGGGAGATGCCACTCTGGTTAGGGATCAGTATCAAGAGACATCTCAGAAGGAGGGTAGTGTGCCTGCTTAGCATGCACAAGGTCCTGGGTTCAATCCCCATACCTTCATTAAGAAATAAATAAAACTTTAAAAAAAAGAGAGAGAGAGACAGAGAGACAGAGACATATTCTTCTTGTTACTCTCTAACTGCCTGCCTAGGATGCCAGCTCTCCTACCTAGGCAACAGTTCCATCCCATGCTCTGAAACTGCAACAATGGTTAGTGATGGAAGGAAACTGTAAAATTTAAAGGTCTGAGAGCACAGAGTTTCAAGTACTACGTGGCTGGCTGAAAGATATGTGGGAAAGATGAAGGACATTGAGAACCAAAGAATTATGATCATAAGCTGCCGACAGAGGCAGCGTGGATGCTCAAACTGCTAAGAACAACAATGGGATAAAAAACTGATTTTAAAATGTAAGTGAAGAAAGAAAAGGTATTGTTAGATATAGCAACAATTTTAACTTTAGAAAAATGTTCAAACATATTTTGACAATACAAATTATAGAAAGTGAAGTTTAACAAGTCTTAATATCTTAAGCAGATAAAAACTATCTCTTCTTTAAAAGAAATAAGAATATATCAATTATATCTCAATTAAAAATTTTATTAAAAAATTAAACATATTTCATCCTATCAGAGTTTCAGAGACAGCTGGAGAACTTTATGCTAATCAAAAGTGACTACGGGGGAAGGGTGTAGCTCAAGTGGTAAAGTGCATGCTTAGCATACACAAGGTCCTGGGTTCAGTCCCCAGTATCTTCTTTAAAAAAATTAATAAGTAAACCTAATTACCTCCCCCCACAAATTTAAAAAAATTTTTTAAGTGATTACGGATTTTTCAAAAATTAATAAAGGGTAGAGAGAAATCCTAAGATAACTAGATTTGTTTAGAAAAGAATATTTTGAAGGTAAATATAGGAGATGGCTTTGGAAAAGACACTATGAGTTTTCAAGAAAAAGTGGCTGTTGAAAGATAATGATAGAATGAAGGTCTAAGATAATCAGAGGGGAGTTAGAAGATGCCAACCTCAGTTTTAACACAGGTAACAAGAGGAGAAACCACCTCCTCTGAGAGAAAATGGTTTTTAGCAGCAGCTTCCATGCTACAGATGTGAGTATAAATCCTCGGACTATACAATCCCTCCCATTATTTCTACAGAACGTAAAGCAAATGAAGTTTTCTATTTATTACTATGCACCTATAATCTGAGATGCATCTGAAATGCATCACTAAAATATAATAAAATAAAATAAAATAAAATACGTCACCAAAAAGCATTAAAATACTATTAAAATATACTTGACCCATCAGGGTTGTTCATCTGAACCACAAAACACACACAAAAACATGTGACTTTTTTCTCAATTCTCTAAGAATGGTAGTGGTACTTAGGTATTCAGCATATATTTTCTCAAAAATGGATGAAGTGAGCCCGTCACCTAGAAAACCATCCACAGCATTTGTTGCCAATGATAAAATTTGAGCTTTCTCAAATTTAAATTAAAAAATTTGAAAACTTTCATCTGCTACCATGAGCTTCACAGTCTCCTAATATGTAAAGATTTTTCTGATGAGATCAGTGGTGATAATGATTTTTTAGATATTGTATAGTGAAACATATCAACATTTGGAAGATATACATTATTCAGTGAAGCAAGATCTCCCAAATGATCAGTTCATGATGTTATGAAATCATGCATGGGTAAATGATCCATTCAAAGTACAGGACAGACCAATGGGTTTTAATGCAATAAAGTACAAAAAGTTCAACTCTAAGGTTTCAGATTCCACATTGCAATTAACCCTTGATTTCTTAATGAAAACTGTCGAGTTTTGGGTGTAGTATCAAGGACTATGCACAATTATCAGACAAAGTTATTAAGCTCTCTCTCCTTTTTCAAATCACGTATCTATATGAAGCCAGATTTCCTTCATACAAGTCAACCAAAACAACATATAACAATAGACTGCAGAGAAATCGTAAGAAAATCCACCTGTTTTCTATTAAGCCAGGTTGTTTTTGTTTGTTTGTTTGTTTTTCTGGAGCCTCTATAATGTTTAAAGGGGTCCTGAGAATTACCTCCTTAGGACACTAGGGCTTATAAGCCTATCAGGGAGCCCAGTAGAAAAAGGCTCTATGAAACTTAGCATGAAGACATTTACACGCAGGTAGTGGCCAGATTTAAGTTTCTACAACAGATAACAAACCTGGATTATAACTCCACATCCTTACTTTTTCTTGAGACATATTAATATCACGATATTTGAGCATGATTCTCTTCCTCTTCCTTACTCTTTTTCCTTTCAACCTCTCTAAGATCAGATTTGCTCACTAAATCACATCTATTCTATTTCTTACATTCTCACTTCCCAGCAATAGTCTGAAAAACCTCTCACATGTTTCTTCTTAACTGGTCCAATCACACAGCCATTCAAAACACCTGCCCAACTTCCCTCACCTTTCCAAGGGAGGAACAGCTCAATCTTAAAATCACTAAGTCTAGTACAAAATTTGCCAGGCTTGGTCCCATATCCAACAATAGCATATTTGAAATGAGTCGTTTTACAAACTAGCTTTTTATAAAATGGCATTATTTGATAAGTACTCTCTCCCCTAATATTATGTTTATATAAAAGCAAAAAACCAAATAAATATGATTCAAACACTATGTTGGGATGCAGACTTAATACACTAGTCATATTTTTTAAAATAAAGGGATACAAAACACAAAAGACCATTCTGAAGAAATGCTTATCAGTACAACTAATAATCATTGGCAGTTAATTTAGTTAAATAATTTCTCATGGTATAACTAGAAGCAAAGTATTAAGTCACTTTAACCTAGCATATCAAATATGTGCCCAAAGTATTTTAAAAGGCTTTACCGATTCAATAATTAAGTCTTTCTGTATTCTGATTTTAGCTCTTTTATAGATAACTAAGTGAAAAACATAAATTGCAAATTAAATTTGAGTTACTTCCAATCAAATGTGTTTGTTAACAGACAAACATTCCTCTCCTACTTTTCTGTCCTAAAATTCTCAACTACTTCCCATGGCTTTATTATATTGGACAAATAGCTTATATTTATCATATTGGACAAATAGCTTAACTTTTCTGATCCTCAATCTCTCGTCAGTAAGATGAAGGGTTTGGGTTAGAAAACTACAAGGCCCCTTCTAAATCTAAAATTCTGAGCCAATTTTAAATGACTGGACTTCCAAAAAGATGTCAGTCAGACTACTGGAGAAGGGAGAGAAGAAAGACTTAACATGCATTTATATTTAAATCTAAAACTTTTTTTAACCAAGTTAAGGTTGGCTGGTTATGCACGGCTTTGAGGAGTAGAACTTCAGGAAGTTCAGGTGAAAACATGAATTCAACATACTTACTCCAGTGATTACATGCAGATTTACTATGACTTTTTCTTTCCCACCAAAACGGGAAAACACTTAGGGCCGAATGGAAGTCGGTAAGATTGGTCTGATCTGAAAACTGAACTCTATTTGTAATCAAGGCCCAAGGTGTTGGCTCTACCTGGCATTTCTCCCTATCCCTTTTAACTCCCAAGGCCGAACTACGGGTGACGAAGTCACCTCGGTTCAAAGTCTAGAGCCCTTCAGATCAGGCAAGGAATGAACCAAGAAGCCAAAGTGTCCAGAAGTGGGGATAGGGTCGGGTGGGGTGGGGTGGGGAAGGCAGATCGGCCCCGAGCCAGGGCTAGGGTGCTGGGGGAGATACCCAAACTGCTGTTTTTCACCCGCCTCGCACATTTCATACCTAATCCACAGGAGCTGGGTGGGGGGCCGGGCCCCCAGGCCCGGAGAGACCTAAGTAGAGGGTGGTGCGTGACAGGCTCAAGGCTCAAGGCAGCCCCCGCGGGGCCCGGTCGCAACCCCGGGGCACCCCGCCAGCCCCGGGGCACCAAGAGGGCAGAGCGGGTACCACCCTGGAGACCCCGGCCCGCGGACCAGTCGCCTCACAGCCGCCCCTCCCCCGCTTATCACTGAGCGCGCGCGGCCCTCCAAGGAGCCGAGAGGCGGCCCTGAAGTCGATCCTTACCACAGTAACACCCAGTACGAGATCTGCGCCTGTCGCAGGGTCCGCCTCACAAAACCAGTCCTCCGCGCGGGGCCGCAGCCGCCGTGGCACCGCAATCAGGGCCGGCGCTGCCCCGCCCCCTGCCTCGGCGAAGAACTCCGCTGGACCAACATGGCTGGTGCCGCCTCTGCCACGTCAAAGGGAGGGGGAGGGGCGGGGCATGTGGGGAGGGCGGGGCGACCCAGCCACCAACTGCAAGGGAAGGTGAGGACCCCCAGAGGGGCGGGGCAGGGAGGAAGGGGGGGGCAGGGGCGGGGACGGAGCCGGGGGCGGGGCCAAGGAACCATCCTGACACCAGTACGCCAGTGGGGCGCGGGTCCCGGAATGAGAGCGCGAGGGTGGGGCTGCGCCATGGCGCGCCTTGCGGTTCTCCCAGGGCCGCAGCGGATCCTACTCCCCGCCCGCCGTAGCCGCAAGGAGGTAGGAATTTTTAATTTAAGCTCACCCGGAGACATGGAGGCGTCCTCTAGGGCATCCTTTACCCTAGGGCTCTAGGTGAATCCAAGAACCACAAACCACACCTCCCCTGAAAAAAACAAAATAAGAAGTTCCTTCTTTCACTTAGTGCAACAAATATTTACTAGACATCTACTTTGTGCCAGGCACAGTAGCGATGCTGGTGATATGATGTAGGCAAAACAGGCAAAATCCCTGGTCTGGACGATTATATACCATTTATGTATTCCTAGTCAGTTTACCTCTTTACTCCTGCACTGCTTCTGCCCCCTCTCTCCCCTAACACACACACACATACACTACAATCTTTGATTAATCTTGATGCGTTTTCTGCCTCTGTTTCCAAGAAAAAAACTGCAAAATGAGACAGACAGAAACAGGTTGGAAAGACAAGGTTGGACCTTGGCGGTCTCAGGCAACCCCATCCTTCAGTGAGCAGTTGCTCACGGAATTAATTCCAAATATGAGAACAAAAATCCTGCAAAGCTTAGCCCTGTAAGTATTTTACAGAGTAGAGAAAAAAAGATCAATCTTTTGTTCTTCAAAGCTTATATTCACAAAAAATAAGATATGCACCAAACATACATTTTTCTTTCTCTAAGCTTGTTTTGTAAGGTAAAAGAGGATAAGTTTGCGCGTCAAATTTTAATACAATCCTGAAGAGAAAATGAGAATCAAAAGCCAAAATTTTATATAGACCTGCAAATAGAGTGGGCTCAGGGTGCTACCTTAAAAAGGATTCTGCACTGAAAGTACAGCTGTGGAACATGATATAAAGGTGGTATAAGGACATTCACAAAAAAGAAATAAGATCTAAGAATGAGTAGGATTATAGGTAAATGAGAGGATCCACAGGGATCCTGGAATTCAGTGAGGAATAAACCGAATTTCATTGATTTCATGGCCCCAGAAAACAGAATCTTAGCCATCCAGCTCAATGAAGTCTAAGAAGTCATAATTCCTATTTATAACAATGAAATAAATATTGTGGGGGGAGGTAATTAGATTTACTTATTAATTTTTTTAAAGAAGGTATCTGTCTTTATGTACTTCAGGGTGAATGAGTTTAAGAATTTAACCCTTGGATATATCAGGATCTCTTGGACCCAACTTTAGTTTTCTGAGGTTTCCTATTTTGGGAGTTCTATTTGTAAGGTTTTGATTTTTCATAACATTTATTCCTTCTTAAGGACTTCCAAAGAACAAAGAGAAAACATTTTTTTAAATATAGGATAAGACATTTTATTTGCAATTGTCATATGGGTTCATTGGACTCTTGTAAATCTAGGCTACATTATGGAATCTTACTGATCTTATTTTTCCTACATCTTCAAACATTCTGCTACTTCATCACCTATGGAATTACTTCATTATCACTCATTAATTGTTCCAAGGTATGCTTTAAAAATATACTAAAGTAATAAGAAAATGCAAGAATGACAGAATTACCTAATATGATAGAACAGTGAACTAAGTCAATATTATTGCATTGTCCTTCAGTTTTCTTTTTGCAATGCCCGAAGTACTGCAGCATCTTTCAAGATCTTTCTACTATGCTTTTAGCTCTCATTCAATATAGTTGAGAATTCAGAATTCAGAAGATGAAAGCAGAGATAGAGAATAGCACTCTAGACCCTAACTAATAATGACAGTGAAATCTTAAACTAGGAATCTTTACATGACCATCTCCTAGATGAATTTTTCAAACTCAGAAATCAATGAATTAACAATATGTTTCTAAGGACAAAAAGAAAATATGTTATTCTCATATAATTATTCATTCAAAATGAATAATTTCATTATGTAAGACTTTTGCAACAAGAATCTAGATGATCTTATTTTGCTAAAAGGACATATATTTAATATTATTTCACCTTTTATGATGTTAATATGGATAAACTTACTTCTATGGATATGATTCTTAAGTGGACAAATGCTAATGACAGTTGTGTGTACAAAGATGATAGGAAGGAAACAGGTAATCTAGAAATTAAAAATTCTTTGGTCTGCTTACTTATAAAGCTACAAATACAAATTTTTGCAATTAGGCAGCAAAGAAAATAGCTATCCTCTCTTCAACAAAATGATTAGCCTTTAAAGATTTCAAAAAATTCTTAAGTCTTGAGTTTTGATGATGCAACTACAAGAAGAACCAGAAGTAACAATAAGTTGGTATATAATCATGATGTTTTTGAAAATTGTAGTCACTATTTACAAGATGGGTATGTTCCGGACTCATGCATCACAGGTAGTGTGCAGATGGCTGCATTTAGAGGACACTGCCCATTTTGGATATATTTTCAAAACTAGGAAAATGTAAAATAAAAATTGTAATTTTCTATGTTTAGATACTTATTTAAATTTCCAGTAAAGTTGCTTTCTATTATCCCTTCACTCTTGTTTCATAGCAGCTTTACTGAATATCCCTTTATTCTAACATGTACAAATTATTCATGAAATGACTTAAAGATATAAAAATTAAAAAGGATCCATTTGGACCCAGATGGTATGTGGTGAAGACTATTTTTTTCTGATATACTGAAAGTTAAGAGGTTTTGATCTGAGGAAGAGTAGAGAGAATGGAAAATTTCTTGAGCTCCCGAGAAAGGAGTCAGACTACGAACTGGAGAAAGAGAAATTCTCCAAAAACAATTTTTACTCGATCTAACTTAATCTATAGACATCCCTGGACCAAGGCATTTGAGATCAATCTGTGAATCTGAAGGATGTTTGTTAAACATTTACCAACATGCAACTGATTATAATTGTTTGCTTTTAGTTTCACCACCTTGTGCAGGTCCTGGCACAAAATGATTGTTCCTTAAATATTAATGAACTGAGCATGAAAAACTAAACAATTATAAAATATAATTATCATCATCATCAATTTTTGGATTTAGATTGACTGTAAAAATATAAAATGTGACATAATTCCCACCTCCCCAAAAAAGTCTTTCTAAAAAGCAAATAATCCTAAGATACAGGACTTGAATAATCCTTCAAACTGTCATTTTTGAAAATGCCAGAGAATATTAAAAAGAAAGAGAGGGAGAGGTCCTGTGGTCAAATAAAGTCAGGAAAAGTTAAATTATGTAAAATAGGTCTCTTGATTTGTCAAAAGTTTTAATATGCTGATATTTATTGTGAATCTTTAACAGTGGCATTTTCATACATTTCCCAGAGATATTTGACCTTGGAACTTTTTTCTGGGACCATCTGGAAGGCGGGTATTCTAAACAATCTATGACTTTGTCTTTAGTCATTAATTATATTTACCACTAGTTAATGTGTAACAGCCAATATTTTCCTTTCTACTTTTGAACCCACAGAAGTTTCCAAACTGGAGATTCCAGTAGTACGCAGTCAGGTGAAGCATAATAATGCAAACTTCTTGAAATTCTATATGGTCACCACCAGATGGAGCTTTCACCTCTATTTTTCTTTTTGGTTTAATCTGTTTTCTAAGGTAAATAAAGCACTTGCAGTTGTTTCTAACATGGATTCTCTTCCATTTGTTCAGATGGTGACATTATAAGGCACTGGCCAAGTATTTGGGGACTACTCACTAGAAAAAGTAATCCTCAGCCTCAGTAGTGTGTCGAGTCCATATACTTACATCTGTCTGATGTTCTAGTCTGCACACACAATGACCACAGTCATGTCAGATATGATAGTAAATAGGCTGATTAATAAATTACACATAAAGTTGTAGAATTCTAAAATCAAATAAACCTTAGCGTTCATTTAGTAATCTCCGTACATAACAAATGAATGTAAGGATAAGAGAGTTTAAGTAGCATATCCAAGGTCAGGGTGCTGATGTCCATTTAAAACCTACAACACTGAATGTTGATTTCATGCCTGTCTTTTCCTCTTTCAGTGCTGACAAGACTTGGTATTGAATTTCTAGTTCTTGTTTAAACAGCAATCATTTCTGTTCCAAGGTACCCCAGCAGTATTATACTCACTCCAATACCATTTCATTCTGCCACTCTGACCAACTCCAGAATTATTACTTAGAGTTCATTTAATCAAACTAAACAAATGAAATCCTATGATCTGCTTTTAGACCATTTATAGCCAAAGAAACAAAACATGGTTAACTACCTTTTTTTTCCTTTTCTTTTTAGCTAATGTTTACTTGATTTGTGAAGGAAATAAGAATTATTAAAACCATGTAGAAAAGAAAGGAACTCCTACTTTAAAAGGAAGGAGCTAGATTTGTATTTTCACTTTAAAAGAGGAGTAAAATTTTGGGTTTTGTGTTCCATAATTAAACTAGACCTTGTCTTAATTTTCTGGCCTCAAGTTAGATAGATCTGGACCCCAAAGCTTAAGGACAGCATTCTCAGAGGTAAAGAGACTGACTGCTCGTGCCCAGAAGGTATATACTAAGGCTAGGATCTCCTTCCATCTGAATTAATTGCCTCTCTCTAATCTATAACCAGTGGGTCATAAAAGCTCTCATTTGTGCTGAGCTGAATCTTTTGAAGCAAAGTAAGTTACAGCAATGGCTCATAAGTCTGACCACTCAGAATAGAATCTTAACTCCGTCCACTTCCTATTTGTGTGAACTGGGCATGTTGTGTAACCTTTTCTGAGCCATTTCCTTCATCTGTAAATGAAGATAACAATAGTAATTACCACTTAGAAAAACAATATATTAAATGTGAGGATTTATATAAATGTGATAATCTATATAAAACATTTAGCCCTAAGAAAGAGAAAAGCAGCCTCTGAGAGCCTGAAATTGACCTGGCTCTATCGAGTGGGCCTAGTTGTTGTTAGGAGCTGCCCTGACATTCATGCCAGGCATGTTTTTCTTCTATTGAATATAACCATTTCACAGCCACCAACATCAGATAAGACCACTCGGTGACCCTGAAGGATCAAGACAAAAACAAGACCACTCTGTAATAGTGTCTGAACTCAGACAAAATCAAGATTGTCCAAACCACTAAATGACCAAATACCTCCCTAACCTGTCTAATATGACTGCTGCTTCTTTACCAGGTATACCATTAGCTTCTCTTTTTTCTTCTACCTTCTGGATAAGAGTTATTGAAATACCTAATCAAAGAATTTGTCTTTGTGCCCTGATGAGCTGGAGAACTGAGTTCTCAGATGTCAGAGTAGCCAATTAATGTAACACTGAGCGAAAATGAAAGTAACAATGAAGCCCCTAATCACTTACTTTGATTGTATAAGCAAAAGTCTAAACCTGGTGAAAGCAGACTTTCCCTGTTCACTTGGCTTTCAGATAAATCTGGGTTAGAACTGGCTCTTTCCCTTTGGAAGAAAGTCATAATTACTTAGTACTTAACCCCTCTTTCGGTCGATTTCATCTCCTACAAAATCGGGATAATACTACTTTCTTCAAAAATTTGTAAAACTTGAATGAGGAAATGCATGTGATGTATCCACCAGAGGTTTAAGAATTTAAAGCTCCATAAATGATCATTACAGTAACCTACTCATTAATCGAAAAAATTAAAATTCCCACACTACTAGGGACGCATAAAATTAATAACCCTCAGTCTTTACTTAGAAGAGAGAACAGGGTGTAACACCCAGAAACACTCTAGAACCACTTCTGCGAGGAACTGAAGTCTTAGCCTTCGTTACACCACCGGAGCCCTAACCTTGGGACAACCAGCAGGTTCGCTCATGCGCAATTGTGCCCCCAAGCCCCGCCTCTTGCTCAATTCCGCGCCAAAGGTACCCACATGCGCGCCTGTGCTGCGACCTAGACTTCGCGCAGGCGCTGGGTGGGACTGGCAGGGTTAAAAACCATGGCGTGGGTACCTGCGGAGTCCGCTGTGGAAGAGTTGATGCCCCGGCTGTTGCCAGTGGAGCCCTGCGATTTGACCGAAGGTTTCGATCCCAGCGTACCTCCGAGGACTCCTCAGGAATACCTGAGGCGGGTCCAGTGAGTGCTTTGACCCTGTGCGGGTGGGCTGGTCTTCCTTTCTTCCCCTGGGCACAGCGCGCCGTGCCCCGCTTGACCCTGAAGTGTGATAAGTCCCGCCTCTGTTCTCGTCCCCAATCCACGCGAGCCGGTCGGATCAAGTTCCCTTGATGACGTCTTTGCGTGAGCGAGTTTCTGTGAACTTAATTTTATTAAACTTGATTACTCGTGACAAGATATGTGCTCTTAGATTTCTTTGCTTTCAATCCAGATAATTTCAGAAATACATTGTTTAGTACCTCGATTTCAATTCTGAACTTTTTTCTGACTTCATAATGAACTGTAGAAGTGGGTCGGTTGTTTTACTACACACGAACAATAACAATCACATTTCTTGCTTATTTCTAGGATCGAAGCAGCTCAATGTCCAGATGTTGTGGTAGCTCAAATTGACCCAAAGAAGTTGAAAAGGAAGCAAAGTGTAAATGTTTCTGTGAGTTCTATTACCCGTCAGGGAATTTGTTTCCCCGCACAAATTAAAAAAAGACCAAGGTTCTTCCTATAGTATCAGATAGTATCAGACAGTATCAGTTATGATGTAGGTAAGACTTGACTACTCCATACGAAGTTAGATATTTGCTTTTACTTTTCCCCCCAAAAGGACAGTTGGCATTTACTGCCTCCAGAGAGGCTTTCAGTAACCCCGGCATTTGTGGAGATCTGCTCACAATACTTTCGAAACATGAACCAATATTAAAGGAGTCTTTAAATAGTTTACCTATGCTATCTTATTTTCAAGGTAACTTTTTCCAGTTCATAATTATTATTGGACTGATATTTAATCTTAGTGTAGTTTGCACGTTCTGAATTTGGGTTTTGTTTTTTAAGAATAGAAACCCACATATCACACTTTTCTGCCCACTGTGAACATTTTCATTCATTTATTTATCCAGCACATTTGTTTTTACTAAGCAACTATGTTGTGCCAGGCACTAGGAATACAACAGGAGAATATGACAGCAAAAATCCCTACCCCTTGTAGAGTTTACATTCTCCTGGGGAAGACAGTAAAATGAACAAATTAATTACATATTGTGACTGTTGCTGTGAAGAAAATTAACACATAAAGGCCAATAAGTAACAGGGAGAACAACTTTAGGTAGAGTGGCCATAGAAGGTCTCTGAGGAGGTGCTATTTAACCTAAGGTCGAAGGAGAACAGCAGCTTTTAAACCGTGATAATTCCCTTTCCTTTTAGTCCTAAGTAGTTCCTTTATCCTATGTTTATAATTGGGGGATTATAATCCAGACACTATAATGTTTCATGTAATTCATTTTCAGAAGTTTTTAGTTGAATGGAAGATGATGTCTTGTATACCTGGCTTTTAAAAAGTGACCACACTATGTTTTATTTTAAGACAGTATGTTATCAGTTGTGACCTGTGTGCCGTTTTAAGAAACAGAAGTAGTCCTTGTAAAGTCAAGTGTCTTAAATATTTGAGTACATTCTGCTCATACCAAAATTCTTTGTTTGGGATATATCTCTCTTTTGGTTTGGAAGTGTTTTGCTCGTAGTGGAGGGATAGCTCAAGTGGTAGAGTGCAAGCTTAGCATGTGGGAGGTCCTAGGTTCAATCCCCAGTGCCTCCATTAAAATAAATAAATAAAGCCAAATTACACCCCCCCAAATAAATAAAATTGAATTTTAAAAATTTATTAAAATATAAAGTGTTTTGCCGTTACAGAAAGCTAGGACTAGATTATATCATCAGGGCTCATATTTCAATTTCTTAGAAACTCCAACTGTGAACCATTCTGGATTGCTCTTACTGAGGTGACTATGTAAGGGTCTTTTCCTAATGTTTTAAACTCAGACATGAATAATTAAGTGCCTCTTCTTTTGCATCTGCAAAGAATACTATCTTTATTGTATAGTCTTATTTGCTTTATTATTCACCTTTCATCCTGATCCTCCTTTTACTTTGCAGAGGCAAAGTTACAAATTGTAGTTATAACACTAACATTGATCCTAATGTTTTGAACTGATCTCCAGCTGTCAGGATGCCAGCCTGCCCCTGAAGGATATTCCCCTACACTTCAGTGGCAACAGCAACAAGTGGCACAGTTTTCAGCTGTTCGGCAGGTAAGTGTATTTTCATCATCTAATCACACTAAACCCTTCCCTCCCTCAAATTTGTTTCTGAGACTGTAGTTGGAAAAATATGACTTGGGATTCTAATGTAAAAAGATAAAATACTTATGATTCAATTATTACATTATTACTGGAATTATTAGACACAATACAGTTTGAAACATATTTTCCTAGTTTTAGGATTGTTAGAATGTTGTACTGCAGTTGATTTCAGTTATGTGTTCTCTGAAGATCACTTGTGTGACTTTTCTTCCTTTAGAGCGTGAACAGACATAGGAGTCACTGGAAATCACAACAGTTGGATAGTAACGTGACCATGGTATGTAAGTTTCTCTGTTTAGGTTGCACAATGTATAACTATTTGAAACAGTCCATATTTACTTCCAGTCCTTAAAGGTTCACTTGCTAAATCCATATGATTTTCATTCTCTCCCATCTACCATTAATAGTAACAATTCCATTATCTTGGTAGCCTAAAACATACAGAATCAGTAATGGAAAATATTTTTATGACAGTTTTAATCCACAGCATCTTGAAAGACTTTGGATAGGTCTCTACATGCTTTTAAGGGTTCTTCTAGACATTTCCTTTTAGGACATTAAATACATCCTCAATATTTACAAAAAATTGAATAAAGGCTTATTGGATTTTCCTAATGAAGTAATGGTGTCAATACCAGTGAATGACATTTTAGTAAAGTTTGTCATGCTTATTGGAAAGTTGTGTTTCCTACATTTTATCAGCTTAGATACAACTTTAAGCTCTTTAGTAGATATGTTATATCCAGACATACATAATCTACTGAAGAGCTGTTATATCTACTGGGGGTGCTGGGGAATGAATGGATACATTGTTTCAGAACAATACTTTTAACGTTTTAGGGCATCTCATACTCTTCCTGAGAATCACATGAAAGCTATTTATCTTCAGAGGGAAAAAAATGCACCTTTGCATCCAATTTTGCTCATAGTTTCGGGTAGTTTATAGATTTCAGATTTTTGAAGCCTCCTCTAGGCAGTGCTTCCTAACATGTTTTACCTGATGACACATTGGGATAAATGAAGGAGGCTGCTCCCATAGCCTCAGATACCAGCTGAAAGCTGAGAGATCATTGTGACCTCTCTATATGCTTCCCTATCAGCTGGAAGCTCTGCTCTAGGAAAAGTGTGAAAGGCACTAGCATCACTTGCCCAAGATCATTTAACTCATAAAAGGTATAGCTGAGATTCAAACCAAACTTTGTCTAACTCTAAAGCCTTTCTCTGTGCTGTGAGGCCTAAAAAGAGGGAAAAGGTGGTAGGTAGGTAGACATTTTTTTTTCTTGGTTAGGGTAAGGACTTTTGGGTACATACTTGCTAATTCAAAAATAAGCTGTAACAATAACATTGTGGTGATAAATTTTGTCAAAAATGTAAATGACTGAGCACAATTGATTCAAAAATGAAGATCGTCCATCAAAACAGTGGACTATTACATAGTGATAATGTGCGTTCATCACGGCAGATGTAAACATTATGTAAATAATAAAGTGAAGAATTTTTAAAGCACACTCTGATGGCAACTATGTAAATGTAAACATTGACTGATTGATTTATCCAACCATTTATTAAGCACCCACTCTATTTAATAATCAAAGTTTTCAGTGCTACCTGAAGCAGAAACAGTCTCTGACCTAAAGGAGTAATGGGAAGAGATGGATTTATTGTTCTAGGACAACAGGTTTCAACCTTGGGATCTCATATTCATTCTGAGACTGTAATGAAAGTTATTCATTCTCAAGGGAAAAGCTTTACATGTATGTAAAGTAATTTGCAAAGTGATGTGTCCAAATAAAAATTGTTCTGTTAACTGAATCAATGTACTCTACACCTGAAATCAAGACAATATTGTAAATCAATTATACTTCAATAAAAATAAATAATTTTTAAATTAAAAAATTAAGGTAGCCTTATTGAACTGAATGGTCCTGCTTTTTCATCTGACAATGTAAGGAAATATGTAATCTTCTCTGCAATATACATCCTTCGTTCTTGTAAGCATTCTTAGTGTATTTTTTTCCATACCAATTTCTATCTTTGTCACACTCTTTTGGACGCACTCTTGCTTGTCAGTGTCAATTAAAGTATGATTCAGGCTAAACACGTCCCACATATGTGTGACCACTTGGGTCCTGTATTATTTTGCTCAGGCTGCCATAACAAAACACTACAGACTGTGACTTAACAGTAATTCATTTTCTCACAGCCTTGTAGGCTAGAAGCCTTAAGATCAAGATTTCAGTAGGTTTCTCTTGAGATGTCTCTCTTTGGCTTGCAAGTGGCCATCTTCTTGCTGTGTCCTCACGTGGTTTCTCCTGTGTGTGCACATGTCCCTCATGTCTCTTCATCCATATTTCCTCTTCTTACAAGGATGCCAGCTAGATTGGATTAGGACCCACCTTCATTAGCTCATTTCAACTTAACCAGTCTCCAGATAGTCACATTTCAGGGTACTAGAGGTTAGGACTTCAACATATAAATTTGGGGGGTACACAATTCACCCAATAACAGGCACTATATCTTTGTATTGAGGTGGTGGGAATATGCAGGAATCCTCACTTCTGTTTTCACTATTCAGTATTAAAATACATTGGAGTAAGTAAAATCTTTTTTTTTTCCTTTTAGCCAAAATCTGAAGATGAAGAAGGCTGGAAAAAATTTTGTCTGGGTGAAAGGTTATGTGCTGAAGGGGCTGCTGGACCAGCTGCAAGTGAAAGTCCAGGAATTGATTACGTACAAGTAGGTGATAATGTGGCCAGACAAACCAAAAAAGGTTATAACTTTGTACATGATTTAGTATAAAGATTCAGAAAATAACAGCCTAGGCCAAATCCAGTCTGCATCCTGTTTTTATACAGCCCATGAGCTAAACATAAAAACATAATGGTTTTTATGTTTTTAAAGAGCTGTTAAAAAAAAAAAGTAGTATGTGACTGGGACAGCATGTGGCGTGCAAAGCATAAAACATTGTCTGGCTCTTTACAGACAATATTTGCCAATCCTTGACTTAGTTTATTGGCTCTTTGACTTAAAAATTGGCAGCCTAGCTTATAAAACAATGTACTGTGACTTTTTTAGAGATGGCCTCATATCTCATGTTTTAGCTGTTAAATAATTTTTTGAGTTAGACAGGATTTTTTTTTTAATAATTAGACATGGGACCAACAATGAGTTACGAGTAGTCAGGAAAACAAAGGAAAACATATGACATAATTAGGTGCTTAAAAATGTTTAGTAAATTTGCGTTTTCTGGAGACAAATGTTGAGGGTATATTTAAATTTCACATTGCTTTATTTTAATCATAAATTATGTGGCCAGCTGCTTCTTATCCTTCAGGATTCACCTGCCCTCAAGTTTGCAGATGTTGCTATGAAACCCACTGAATACATCTGCGTTACTGGTAACTCCCTATACTATGTTGTTCTGTTGTATAGGTATTTATTTTTTATGAGGTACCACTGTGTGTTTTTCCCATTTAAAATTAGTTTATCCTCAAAATGGAAAAGCTCTAAAAATCACTAAAAAAGACCCAAGACCCCAATTTTTTAAATATTGCAAAGGAGACAAATAGACATCTCACAGAAAGGAAATACAAATTGTTCTTATATGAGAAGATGCCCAAACTCAATTATAACAGAAATATAGCTTATAACTCCACTGAATTGGTACTTTTCATATAACATATTGGCAAAGAAAGTTTGATATACTGTGTTAACAGGGCTGGGAAAACAGGTATTCTTACATATGGTGGTGGGAGTGTAGACAGATTCAAATCTCTAAGGGAGCTAATTTGACACTATTTCTTATACAACCTGTGTTCTTTTGGGTAATATCCCTAATGTTATGTTTCACAATGTTTTAATTTGACAAAGAATTAAAATATATTTAGTTTATTACAAAATGTATACAAGTGAAATATACCATGTGAAAAACCATCTAAGAACATCGGAGTTTAATGCATGTTATGCTAACTTTCTCACGAATCAGTGCTGTTTTCATAATTATGGCTCCCAACATAAACTCCAAAGTGCTTTTTTTAACTGAAGCAGATTAGTTTTGAAAAAACTTATCCAAAAGCCCTTAATTCCTGAAAATGTTAGCTTTAGCTGATGATTTTGAAGAAGTATGTACAATATACTAATATCAGTGTCATTTTTTAAAATTTCATACTTTAATACCTTAATTACTAAAATCATTCTTTATTTTTAAATTTCCATTATTCAGATTTCAAGACAATATTTTCATGGGCATTACCAACCTAGTAGTTCATGGAATGTTTTATTGTATTGGACAATGAAAGAATTTTCTTTTATCTATCCTTTGTTTTTAAATAACAGTGTATTGAGAAATTCACCAGTTTGAAAAAAAAAAATGAAGCCCTTCCTTATAACACCATTTAGTAAATTTGAGTCTTGCTTTTCTTTCAGATTGGTTTTCCTCCCTTGCTTAGTATTGTTAGCAGAATGAATCAGGTAAAATCAATCTAATAATGAAAATATATGCATTCGTTTGTTTGCAGTGTGTGTTAAAGTATTTGAATACATTTACTGAATATTTACAGTATGTAGGACCCTGTCCTAAACTCTTTAACAGTTCTTATTTAATCCTCACTAAAATGGGGGATTATTATTAATAATCCATTTTTTACAGTTGAGGAAACAAAATTGGAGATTAGGTCATGTGCAGGTGGTTTTTCAGCAAGTTTTAATGGCAGTGCTGGGATTCAGTCCCAGGTTGATTTAATTTCAGAACTCATGGTCTTGATCATAGTGCTAAACTTTTGACATGTATACATTTCAGTTGTAACTGTTAGATTCTGGGGTTTGAAATAAATGCTAAGGCTAGATTGCTATTTCTCATTCCAGATGTCCTACACATTATATTAAGACTGAAATAGAGAATTTCTTGGATCAAAAGGGAAGAAATATGGACTTTGGTTCTTCAGTCTTTCAGGACTGGGAACTCTTATCCATTTAAAGAGCAAATACTTTGTTTTGCCTTCACATTAGCATTGTGTACGCTTGGAAGATAGATTTTTTTTTAAGAGTCATACTCTGATGTAAATCATATACTTCTTTACTTGATCATTTACATTAAGATACTGTAGTAGTTATACTAAATTCAGTGAGAGTGATTTTTTAAAGTGTCCATCTATATTTGAATTTGCCAGATAATATTTTCAGGTTTATTCAATTCTATCTGCATAGCTTTAAAACTGATCTTTTTCAAAAAAAAAAACTGATCTTTTTCCAGCTTTCTCTTTAAGTTTGTACTTTGATTTAATGAAAATAAGCTAAAGGTATTCATGCAAAGATTTTTTTTAAGAGATATGGAATTTTTTAAGTATTTACAAACTAGATTAGTAGCTGCAGACTAAATCCTAGGATTTAAACTGAGGTATTGATACTTGAAAGCATATTTGTCTAAGAAGCCTCTTCTCACTGAGTGAACCATCTAATCAAATTACTGAATAGTCACAGCGTTCTCTGGAAGTCTGAAGAATGAGGCCATTTTAAACAGTTGCTTTCTAACTAAACTTAGTGAAACTCAGGCTGAACTTGTGTTTTATTACTAATACTATTCTTCCATCTCCTTCCCCCTTTTTTTAGGCAACAGTAACTAGTGTCTTGGAATATCTGAGTAATTGGTTTGGAGAAAGAGACTTTACTCCAGAATTGGTAGTACTGCATCTTTTTATTTTCATGACTAAATTATAAACATTTATACTGGTTTATTTTTTTATTATTTCTTAAGATGTTTCTAGAATAGAATTATTGCATCAAGGTGTCAGAAGCCTTTGTTACATCCTGCCAGATTAATTTCCAGAAGAACTGAACCAGTGTGTAACACCAGCAATGGATTCTTAAATTTATTTCTCTTCCTACAACCCTACTTTAAGTTGAACCATATGAAATTTCCCTTTTTGTAGGTTGAAAACATTTGATTATCAGCAATTCCACATGGTTCAAGCTAACATTTCATAATTTGTGTTTATTTTTAATATATAGTAGTGCTTCAAAGTAAATGTAGTATGTTTTATTATCATAACACAAAAAATTATTAGCTACACCTTCAGTAGATAACTTTGTTCATATTCTTAGGCCACTATTTCAGTGGAATCTAGAACTTTAAATTCTGTATCAGTTCTTTCTGTCTGATAGTGACCTTTTACCAGTATTATTTATCTGACCTATTCTCCATCTCTTCCTTTAATCTTTACTTTTTAAATTCTCTTTGTTGTAAAATTTTTTGGATTTTTTTTTAACTTTTAAAGTTTCCTCACTCAAGAGGGAGATAATTTTGGCTTTTCCTGTTAATTGGTGAAAACATATTACCAAAAAGTACAGCTATATTTGCCAGAGGAACCATTAAAGTGTTTCTGAACCAATGCTAACTGATTTACTAAATTTTAACCTAATTAATCCTTTGAGTTTTATTTTGAGTAATCTGTCTTTTAAATCAACAATGTTCAATGCCTCTGTCTAAGTAAGCATACCATTAGTACTCTAGTACTGAGAATATCAATGTTTAAGTAAAAACCTGTGTAACAGGAAGTTTGCTAATCATAAACTACCAAAAAAACAAAAAGAGAGAGACCTTTTAATTATTTATTTTTTGGGATTGCTTGTCTAGTATTTTTTGAGAAATACAGCCTTATTTTGCCATCCAAGTGTAAAGTTATGAAAGAAGGTTTTCAGCTATTTGGTTTGGGATTTTGCTTATTTTTTTTATTATTGTCAGAGTGTGCTCACTAAGTTTGAGAAAAGGAACCTTTCAGTATAGATACACCTTAGTCAGTAGAGGTTTAAGTACCTTTTAAGTGTAGAGGATGTTTGACCACCTGAATGTCAGCTTTGTGTCATAAATGTATCCCTGAAAATTTGAGTCAAGTTAAAATGTATAATAGCTTTTCTCATGTAAAAGAGAATCTTGCTCACTTTTTGTAAAAGAAAGCTAGATGTAAATTTTCCTATTTAAGAGAAAGCCTTTTTGATTTGTGGTTGCTTGAGGAGCTAACAGTGTGTTGCACAAATTGCTATTAATTAAATTTATTTATTTATTTATTTATAATTTGGGGGCATCTAGGTTTATTTATTTATTTATTTATTGGAGGTACTGGGGATTGACAAATTGCTATTTAAACTTTGTTCTAATTCTTCAAGATTCCCCAAAGTGATGTGTTGCTCAGAATAAACGTGGTCATATATACTGCTGGTGGAAATATAATTTGATATAACCTTTCTGAGGTACAGTTTAGTGATTATGAGTTAAATTTGTGGTGTAGTTTGCCTACTTATTCCTTTTTAAAATTCTGTTTAGGGAAGATGGCTTTATGCTTTATTGGCTTGTCTTGAAAAACCTTTATTACCGGAGGCTCATTCACTGATTCGGCAGCTTGCAAGAAGGTGCTCTGAAGTGAGGCTTTTAGTGGTAAGTTCAGACTCTATTTTATTAGTCAGGATTAGATTTAGCTACATAATAGAAGAGTCCAAAATAACAATAGCTTAAGTAAAATGGAAATATTTTTCTCAGACAGAGGAAGTCTGATGGTCGGCAGGTGAGGTCTAAGGTGGCAGTAGCCCAGGCCTTAGGTTTCTGCCACATGCAGCTTCCATCCTCAGGCTCGCCTCATAATCCAGGATGGATGCTGGGGCTTCGACCATTGTATTTCATTGTAGGGAGCTGGAAAGAAGAAAAGGTGATCATCCTCCCTAAAGAGCCTTCCCAGAGGTTCCACAAACACATCTGGCCAAAATAGCTCATGGGTCAGAATTTAGTCACACGGCCATAAGGAACTATGGGAAATGATGACTTTTAATTGGGTCACAGTGTGCCCTGCTGAAAATGAGCTTCATTTGCTAAATAATGGAGGGAGACAAGGAGTTAGAGTGGTCAACTAACAATCCCTGGCACAGTGATCATTTTAAATTTCTCCAATCAGACCCTTCCTCTAACTCATAACTGCAGCAGTACAATATAAATTAATTTGATGCCTGACTAAGTCCACTTTTGATTTTTTTTCATTCCTCTTTTCCCCTCCGCAAAATGTATACTTGTTCACCATTGGCTATTCCAAAATATTTTCATCAAACATCCATGAGATGGCCCAAACTAACTTACATGGCCTGTACTCTGAGCAAAATGTACTTGTTACTAAATATTCCCTGTGCTATGTTCCTAGACTTTATTACCCTCTCCAGAAGTGCCTTTTCACTCTGTTCCAGTCTGCATCTGAATATCATTTACTTTTCCCAGTCTGGCTCATATCCTACCACGTTCTGTGATGCTTTCCCTGATCCTCACAATTTAAAAGAATCTCTCCATCCTCTGTTTTCCCAGTATGCTTTGTGTCTTGTTTATGGTAGTATGTTTCTCAAGGGATCATTAACTTTACAGTTTCTCCTTTTTCTTTGATGTCTTCTATTTTCACATGATTATTACTATCTAATAAAGTGTTCATGTTTCACATCTTGAAAAGAAACTTGTTTCAAAAATATTGGGGGACAACAGATTACATTTTCAACTTTCTTTTTAGGACAGCAAAGATGATGAGAGGGTTCCTGCTTTGAATTTATTAATCTGCTTGGTTAGCAGGTAAGTAATCCTTGGCTTCTTGCTTTATATAGCATTATTAATGGTAGTAGAGAATATTGTTTCCATTTTACAGTGAGGAAGTTGGGGTATGAGGAAACAATATTATATGTATCACAATTCCCTTTATTCCTAGTTTTTCTCTATAATGCTGCATTGAAGATCCTTATACGTACAGCTATATTATTTCCTAAGGGTATATTCCTAGAAATAAGTTAAAGGGCTTGCATGTACTTCTAAAACTGAGACATTTATTGCCAGTTTGCCTTCCAGGAAGATCATACCACTCTGTGTTGCCACTAAAGTGTCAATGAGGTGCCTTTCTCCTGTTCAACACTGGGCATTTTCAGTTGATTTAAAAATTTCCATTCTAATAATAAAAAAGATACAAATAATTTTTATTTGCTTTTGTTTTATCTGTAAGGGTAAAATATGTTTCATTTTATTGCAGTTTTTAAAAAATTGCTTGTGTCTTATGTTCATTTTCAATTGGGGCATATTTTTATGTAGTATGCATTTGATTTCATTTCTTACATTAAAATTTATTTGAAGATATTTTCATATTCTAAATTCTTATGTTTGTGTGTATATAAATATAATATATGTATACTTATTTTAGGTCTCTTTCTGGGCTTCATATTTTTATTCATTGGTCAGTGTTTTTATTCCAATGCTAGTAACTTTTCAAAGCTTTATAATATATTTAAACATTGAGAAGATAAGTGATCCCATGTCACTTTTTTACTCGCATAAACAAGATACTTTTTCAGAGTACACACATATTCAGCATGTAGTTTCTTGATCTGTAATAATTATGCTGATGATAGTTATTGCTGTTTCAGTAAGCTAGTACTTAATAGAATCAAGATTTAAACATATCCATCTGACTTTATGAGAGAAGAAATGTCCAAGTGTAGTAGGTCATGATTATTTCTTTTCCTCAAAAAGTTAGGTAAAAATAAGAAAAAAGTTTTAGGACAGAAGTTTCTGAAGGTATAGGCTTCACTTAGGAAAACTTATAGCAAGTTTGAAAAAAAAGATAACCTAGGCCTTGACTCTTTGCAGTAGCGGCTTCAATGTAAGTATCAGGTATTGTTATAAATCTTGTGTTTTTTGTTGTTGGTTTTGTTTGTTTTGGTAGCTTTAAGGCAGTAATTGCTAATTCATAGAAATACCTGGTCAGATGAGTGGGATCTTGTTCAAACAGGATCCCTGAAATATCAGCCGCCTTGCTTATTTTACCATTGATAATTATTTTTTTTAAGTTTCTTATTGTGGAGATTTTCAAACACATACAAATATAGTAGAATAAACCCCCCAGGCTAATCCATCACCCAGGTTCAACAATTGCTAACTCTTCACCAGGGCATCTGGTTTATCCCATCTGTTTTGTATTTCAAACAAATCTTCGACATGTCATTTCTCCTGTTTTAGTGTATCTAACTGATAAGGACTTTTTAAAAACATGACTGTAATATCACACCTAATAAATTTAATAACAACTCCGTAGTATTGTCTAATGTCCGGTCCATGTTTCACATTCCCTAATTGTCCCCAAGATGTCTTTGTGTGTTTGAATTGTTCAAATCGGGATCCAAGTAGGATGCACTCATTGCATTTGTCTGATGTCTCTTAAGTCTCCCCATTAGTCCCTTGAGTTTTTTTCTTAGCCATGTATTTATTGAAGAAACTAGGTCCTTTGACTTGTAAAATTTCCTACATTTTGTTTTGACAGCTGTCTTCATAGTGGTAGTCAGTGTGTTCATCTAGCCTCTGTATTTTCTGGAAACTGGGAAGTAGGTCTCGAGGCTTGAATATACATAATGATTTTGCTTGTTTGACAAGGCTCCGTGTGAGCTTCTGTGCCACATCAGGAAGCACATAATGTCCCACTTTTACTAGTGAGAAAGTTGACCACATTCAGGTAAAGGGGTATTGCTGCCATTATGCTTTCTGATACTCACGTTGTTCTCTTTGGAGCCTTGGAGCCCTGCAGATCAATTCTTATGCTTTTTGTTCTATAACCTTCGTGTTCTTTTTGTTTTATAGCTTTCTTACTTTCTAGTATGTCAGAATGATTCAGATGTATCTTGGACACTTCTGGCTCCAGATCTGGACTCTCATTTTTCTCCTGGGAGTGCTGGTTCCTCCCTTAAAGTAGAAAATGGTGTCTAGAGCCCACAGTTTGGACATTAGGGAAGCTCGTTGTTGCTAGGTTGGTCGTTGTGTTTAGGCCTTTTCAATCAACAGAGCTGGGAAGTATTTTTTAGAAAGAGAAAAATAAAATCATGAGTTCAAATTGATATTTCAGTTCTAATTTAAGATTATTTAACTGTTCTCTGATGTTATATTTCTGTTCTTCAATGCTGAAAATTCTGGTTTCTAACAATATAATCCTTGGCTTTATCCTACAATTTGTACGTCATAGTTTCAGATTAACAATACTAACAGTTTTACTGATAGTGAAACTATTGAAATCATTTTAAGAATTCTTTGCAGTTCTTTTTATCTCTGATATATCTCACTAAGGACATATATCAGAATATCACATTTAAGGTCACCTGAAATTATTATTCTTTGTGTGGCTATGCTACCAACTTGGTATAGGAGGAGATTAATTTGGTGGAGTTTGATTAGTTATTTTTTCTTTTTAATTTAATCTTGTTTTTTAATTTCATAAAATATTTACATTATTCCAAAGTTAAAATTACAATTCAAGGTACATTTTGGAGCATTTTACAATCCACTTTTACCTGTAGCCCTTTTCTCCCTTTTGTAGTTATCCATTTTATTATTAATTTTCAATTTATCCTTTCATTCATTGTTTCTTTTAAAAACTATAAGCATATGTAACAATATATCGGCATTCCTGTGCATGCTTATAAAAGGTAGCATGCAAAACATATCATTCTGTACCTTGTTTTTTCTTTTACTTAATAAATCCTGGAAATCACATGGTAGCAGTGCAGATATTTTCCTCATTCCTTTTTTATGAAAGCCTCACAGTTTTCCACAGTGTAGATGTATTGTAGTTTATCAAACCAGTCTATTGATGGACATTTGGCTTGTTTGTGGTCTTTTGCTATTACAAGTAGTGCTATGAGGGGGAGGGTATAGCTTAGCTGGCAGGTCCCAGGTTCAATCCCCAGTACCTCCATCAAGTAAATAAATAAACCTAATTACCTCCCTCAAAAAAAAAAAAAAAGTAGTGCTGCACTTAGTATTTTTAAGCATACATTACATTCTTTTTTACTAGGTATTTTGACCAGCGTGACTTAGCTGATGAGCCATCTTGATGTAGCTGATCTCTCAGGGATAGGAGGTACTTGTGATGAAGACAGCCTGAGTCATAGGAAGTGCGATGCCAGTTCAAGTGCAGAGTGCATCATATCTTCAGCACAATGTGAAGAGTCTTCATCTTAACCTGTGCGACTCAAGTTGGTATTCAGAAGATAGTGTTTTTTCAATATTTGACGTATCTTTGAAAGATCTTACCCAGTTTTGATGAATAGTTTAAACAGTTTTCTGTAGTCACATGCTTTTAAAACAAATTGAATGCCATTTATTGATGAAGCATTCTGCACAGAAACTGTGTGAAATTGTACAAAGGCCCTTGGTGCTGTTTCATTGTTTATTTACATATATACATATAAAATTTTATTGAAAATGTGTTTTGATTATTAAAATTTTGTTTGACTCTTGAACAGAACAAAAGACAATGGATAAATGTCCTTAATCATCTAGATTATATGGCACATGTATTCATAATCAGCAGCAAGATTAGCCTAAGGTTTTCCCTTTAAGCTCAGAACTTTTACTTTTAAATACTTTATTGCATAAACAAAACTTTTTCTTTGCAAGTCATTTTCAGTAACATCCTAATTAATGACTTTTAATTTTTCTGCCACATCTTTTGTTCATGTCACTTATAATTTATCTCTTTCTATATCAGGCGGGAATGTTTCCTATGTTAAGTAACAGGAGATCCAAGTAGCAATGGTTTTTCACATAGGGATTTATTTTCTTACACAGCAAGACGTCTGGAGGAGCTGTCTACTGGCACTGGTTCAGTGACTCCACGATACCAAGGTCTCTGAGTCTTAGCTTTTTCCTCGTGGTAAGATGCCCCTACAGTGCAGAGCAATGTGTCTCTATTCAAGACAGGAAAAGAGAGGAAAAAGGCAGAGCCTTCCACATCTGATCCTTTTCTCATAAAAGCAAAACCTTCTCTAGAAATCCACAGCAGATTTGTCTTCATCTGTTGATCATGAGTGTATAAAATCATCACCTCTAGCTTCAAGAAAACTGGGGAAATGGAACTGTAAGCTTTTCCAGTCTTTCTAATGGGAAGTGGAAAAGGAAAAGGGGATTAGGAATAACTGTGGATCAGGCAACCAATAGTTTTGCTACTTTTTATAAATGGAGCAGATGTAATTTTATATTTCAGTCTTTTCTGCTGTTGTGTCTTCATCAAGCTGATTTTTCAATGGTAGCCTAGTAGTCTAAGTTGTATTTTACCATAATTTAAACATTCTTTCATTGTTGAATATGTAATCTTTCAGTGTTAATCCAATACAGAAAATGCTACCATGAATACCTTCATGCACATAGCTTTTTCCTTTCTTTGACCAGAAGTTCCCAAGCATAGGGTTGCAAGTCGTAAGAGTCTATCAGTTAATATTGCATTTGAAACTTAACTGAGGTTTTAAAAATTACAAATTTATTCTTGTTTCTCATAAAATAATTCTCGTCTGAGGAGCTTAGGGCTAGGGCAGCAGGTTTACAACATCTCAGATGCCCTAGGTGCATCCAGATTTCTCTTTCATCAGTGTTTGTGTGTAGCTTTCATCCTTCTCTGGTCATGCTATGGTTGCTTTATCTCTTACTTCAAATCTGCATTCCAGGGAGAATAAAAACGTACCACCACTTCTGGAGGTCTGTACCAGGGGAGCAAAGTGTTATGAGAAACTCTTCAACTTGTATATTATTTGTCAGAGTTACGGCATGTTACGGCATCTTCTACTTAAAAAGAAAGCTGGCAAATTTAATTTTTCAGGTGAGCATATTGTCACTCCTACCAAAAATGGTTCTGTTAGAAGAGAGGAGAGAGTGGATATTGGGTAGGCAGCCAGCAGTGTCTACCATCAAGAGTTTAGATTTTCAGCCTACACCACAACTAGCTGTTTTATAGCTGCACATTCTTTGCTGATTTGCTCTTTGGGGGGTGGGGCTAGGGACTGATTTAATAAAGGTAAAGTGTCAGTTGTTTTGACTTACATTTCTTCCATAGCTAATGGCACAAAGAATTAACATTTCTGAAGATTAGAAACATAAAAAAGAAGGCAATTTTGCATGTGCAGAAGACGAGTGATATAAGAAATTATTTTAATGCAGTTACACCTCATTTTCCAGCAAGCTGTAGGAACTCCCATATTTAACTGAGAACTTATTTTTGTCATGACTTAACTTGGCATAAGGATATTTTTCAGGAATGTAGAGATAAAAGTAAAAGATATTTAAAACCACTTATGTAATTGTAAGTATGCAGACTATCCAGTGTAGCCTTAGGGTTTATCAGACCTTTCACAATAAAAAGTATCTTCTGGTTTTTATGAGAAATTGAAGAGAAAGAATTTTTCAAGTCTTAACACAGGTAGAAAGCTTTAAGTACACTGAGAAACTACACATTTTAAATAATGGAATTTAGAAGTAGTTATTTTGAAAATATTAACTACCAAATGGTAGTTTAAATCAGGACTGTGGGAGCATGGACCAAGTAAATTAGATGGTACCCGTATTTTTTTTTCACATGAAAGAGTCATTACTTCTTTTGATCAAAAGGACATTTACATTGATTAAATTGTGTTAATTATTTTATTAAAATTGTATTCATTTCTACCTTTTAAAATAAGATTATTTCATCTGTGTACTTAGCAAAATAAGCCAATTAGAGGCCAAATTAGATCAAAAGTGGCTTAGGTTATCAGTTTTACCATCTGGGGACAAAGATATAAAAATGTTTTATGTAAATCAACTACTTCAATTTTAAAAAAAGTTTTAGAAATTACTGAGAAAGATCAAGTTGATCTATGTCCATCATAAGATTTTATTTTGCTATATGTTACAAATTCCCACTAAGTTTCTAAGAATAATATCTTCTAAATAATATGTCCCTAGAATATTGATTTATGTGAGCTGTTAGTGTTTCTTAAAAAGAGGTACTGTAATCAAATACTAGTTTAAAATAAATTAAGCTGATTACTTGATTTTTTCAGAATCTGTAACATACTATTCATGTGCATTGAAAGTTGACAAAAGAGGATGAATATCTACAATGTATGTGATCACAGTGCTCATTTTTCAAAGAGCACTTTGGAAAACATTTGTAGCTTCTATCCAGTTTCTTTCTTAACTCTAATGACTCCAAAATTTGCATCAATCCGTTTCTGCAGTCAGTTTGGTGCTTGCCCAGGCCTGAGTTGAACTCCCATCCTACAGCTGTACTCTGGGAGGACTTGGAAACAGTTCACCAGATAACCTTGGCTCTAGGATTTTGCTTCTCTTTAGTCTGCATGTTGGGTTCTGCTGTAGATTGTTATTTGTGTCCTCCTAAATGCATATGTTCAAATCCTGACCCTCAGGTGATAGTGTTAGGAGGCAGCGCCTTTGAGAAGTGCTCATTAGGTCTTGAGGGCAGAGTGCTCCTAACGGGAATAGTGCCCTAGTGGGAGAGACCCCAGAGTTAGTCCCATTCTGCCCAGGGAAGACACAATCAAAAGACAACGCTGGGAGAAAGGAAAAAAAAAGGACATCCATCTGTGAACCAAGAAGCAGGACCTCACCAGACACCAGATCTGCTGATGCCTTGGTCTTGGACTTCCCAGCCTCTAGAACTGAGAAATACGTTTCTGTTTTTTATAAGCCACCCAACCTATGGTATTCCTCTAGGGCAGCCCAGATGGGCCAAGCAAGACAGGTTCTGATGATATCTCCAGCCTTAAATCCGCTTAATGAGGTTTGACATGTCGGAACAAGGGATTGAACTGTCGTTTCGGTTAGCGTTGGCTGCTGACTAGTTTATAGTTTGTCCTTCATACAGTGTAGTTTTTACTATTGAAAAATACATCTGTTCAAAACAAATTTACTATTCACCTAGGTCCCTTGATGACTATAATTAAGATATAGTTGTGCAAAAGGATACCGAATAAAAATAACTTTATTGTGGGATTATTTTAATTTAATCTTCTATACAATTTACTTGCAACTTTCCAGTCTTTTTGATATACTCATAAGCATGTATTTTTATATTCATAAATTGTATATCATATATTGCATGTGCAATATCCTGAAAGAAACTTTTTTCTCTTAATACCAATTAACATCATTCCATGTAAGCAAATGCATAACTATTTTATCCTCTTTCCCAGGTGCACAGTATTTCCTTCTGTGCCAGTACGAACAAGTGCCATCAATGAACACTTAACCAAAATATGAAAATCCTTATACATACAAATTTGCATACTCATTTATATTTTTTTCCCAGTTTGAGATGATTGAAATACATCTTGTAAGTTTAAGGTGTATGTGATGATTTGATGGACATATATATTGCAAAATGATTACTACAGTAAGATCAGTGAACACATTTACCACCTCCCACAGTTGCAGTTTGTGTGTGTGTCTGTGTGTGGTGAGAACTATTTTAAGATCTACTCTTAGCAACTTTCAAATATAAAATACAGTATTGTTAACTATGGTTACCATGCTATAGATTGCATCCCTGGAATTACTCACTTTATAGAAGTTTGTACCCTTTGACCACCTTCACCCTCATGTATTTCCTTAGGTTCATGAAGTAGCTGAGTTAAAGGATATGTGTTTTAAGTTGAAAAGTGAATGCTTTTTTAAAGTGCAGATATTCACTTATCCCCATGGTATAAACTATAAATATTTTCTCTATTTTAATAATTTATAGTTTTTCTGCCATATAAACTTTAAAAAAATTGTCATCTTTTGTGTGGCAAAAAGCACAAAACATGAAATCTACCTTCCTGTTTTCAAGTTTTCATGTAGTAGTGTTAGTTATATCCACATTGCTTGTACAGCAGATCTCTAGAACTAACTTACTCACTTTGCACAACAAACTGTATACTTGTTGAACAGTTCTCCATTTCCCTCTTCCCTCAGCCCCTGGCAACATTCTTGGTGCTTCTATGAATTTGACTACTTTAGATGCTTCATATAAATGAAATCATACTGCACTTGTCCTTCTGTGACTGCCTTATTTCACTTAGCGTAGTGTCCTCAAAGTGGTCGCATATGACAAGACTTTCTTCTTTTTTTAAGGCTGAATAACTTTGCTGTTAATGTATATACCGTATTTTCTTTACCAAACCATCTGTCAGTTTAGGTTGTTTCCACCTCTTGGCTACTGTGGGTAATGCTCAATGAACATGGGAGTGCCAAGTATCTTTTCAAGATCCTGATTTCAATTCTTGAATACTCTCAAATAGGATTACGGATCACATGGTAGTTCTGTCATTTTTAATGGAATCTTTATACTGTTTTCCATAGTGGCTGTAGCATGTTACATTCCCACTAGAAGTGCGTAAGGGTTCCAGTTTCTCTGTATCCTTGCCAACACTTTTTTTTTAGGGCCATCCTAACGGGTGTGGGGTGGTATCTAACGGTGGTTTGGATTTGCATTTGCCTCATGATTAGTGATATTGAGCATCTTTTCATATACTTATTGGCCATTTGTGTATCTTCTTTAGACAAGTATCTTTTTCAGTACCCTGTTCATTTTTTAATTGGGTTATTTAGGCTTTTTACTCTTGAGTTTTAATTCCTTATATACTTCAGGTATTAACCCTGTACCAGATATGTGGTTTGCAGATATTTTCCCCATTCCACAGGCTACCTTTTCACTCAGTTGATGGTTTTCTTTGCTGTGCAGCTTTTTAGTTTGACATAGTCCCACTTGTCTATTTTCACCTGTGTTTTTGTTGATAGATCCAAGAAATCACTGCTAAGACCAGCATTTTGAAGCTTTTCTCCTGTTTTCATTTAGGAGTTTTAAAGTTTCAGGTCTTAAGTCTGTCTTTAATTCACTGAGTTGATTTTTGTGTTTGGTAGAAAGGTCCAGTTCCATTCTTTTGCATGTGGATATTTCTCAGCACCATCTGTTGAAGTTTTTTTTTTACTATTTTCTGCATGTCTTAAAAAAGCTTTCTCTACTAAAAGATCATAAAACTAACCTCATATTTTCTTTAGCACTTTATGGTTTTATTGTTTTAAAAGTAAACCTTTGAAAGTATGTTCTCCTTCCCCCACAGAAAAAGGAAATTCAATATTCCCATACTATTATTTGTATAATTTCCCTTGTCTCTACCAAGAGAGACTTCTTTGGGGCTACAAGTAACAAAATACACAACCAAAAGGAGATTAAACAATGGAGGAATTTATTATCTCAACATAACAAACAGTCCAAAGGTAAAGCAATTTCAGGATTGGTTAATTCAGAAGCACAATTCAGGTGCTTTCTATCTGTGCATCCTGCCAGTGTGATGATAGCTTTCATCTTTATACTTGTCCTTTCATGGTCATCAGACGGAAGAGAAGGTGAGAGAGACAGTAGATGAGCACTGACCCCAACCCCCTGGGAAGATGTGGTCCCATGAATGTTGGTATGACTAATCCAATTATCCACCCCTGTGCCCTTGCAGAGAAGTAAGTAAGGGGACAAGGATGTTAGAACCTTCAGCACTACCACACATGGAAAGAGAAACTGAAAGTCAAGACTAACAGGAGTAATTATAAAAATGCCTTCCTAAAATATCTAATATTCTTTGGCCCTGGAGTCACTGAATTCTTATCTCTCACTTTATCTATATATTTTACTTTGTTACATTAATGGAGCTCTCAAGAACTGAATTCTATTAAAGTGAAATAAAAGTTTTTAAGCGACTTAGGCAGTCAGATATATATATCACACACACACAACACAATGTATATAATGAAATCCTTAAACAGGCATAAAAATTCTTAATAGAAATAAATTATAAGCAATAAAATAATTAAGTTTAATTTAGTGTACTGTTTGCTTTTTTAAATAACAAATTCATAAAACAAACCAAAATTTGTTCATTCTTACACAAATAATTCTGATTGGTGTATACTTTTCTTTATGCTAATTTCCCAAACCCTGAGTTTTGCTTCTCCATCTCTGATTAGATACACATCACTCTAAGCAAATAAGAACGTTTAAATAAGGGTCCTATGTTGGTGTTTAGTTATTTGAAATCAGGTTTTCATTCTGAGTAGTTTCAGTCAAGTGTATGTTATGGTAGAATGTTCTTTTACCTGTTTTAACTTGGTCTATGTTAAATTGATAAAATACAATCTTACTCCTGCTTAAGAATGCATCTTTCATTATATAAGTTAGCAAATAGCTTATATCAATTCAAATGTCCAACAATGTAATTAAACCATTGCTACTTGAAATACTTTATACAGGAATAATTTATCTCTTCACACTACGGAAGTCTTGCATTTCAGTAGGTTCTACAACTTCTGTATCATCACTTGAAATTTACCTAAAAAAGAAAACATGAAAAATCATTCTTTGATTTTAGGTACAAGGAAAACAGGCCTAAACATCAATTTTCTGCTCTATTTAGGAAGTAGTTTCAGTCAAGAAACTATCAAACAACTTTTCACACTCTTTACAACATTTGATAAAGTCAGTGCCATTTTTATGAGATGATTATCTGGTCTGTGAATAAGTGCCTTTGTTTTTCTTTGTAATTCCTACATTTGGGTATTTCGTTGCTAATCATCATTATTAATAGAGAGGAAATACAGTGATGCTCAAGTCAATTTCATTATCAGTTGGTAGCTCTGGTGGAAAGATCTTTGGAAAGGAGTTTAGTGATAAAAGACTAATTGGCTTTATCTAGCTTTATATAAAGATATATTCAGAAAACTTTAAAAATTTTTTCAAAAGAAAACATTTTCAGCACTACAAGGAAATTTGTTATCTTAAAAAGAATACTGCAGAAAATCTTCCTTTAAAAGTTAAGAATCATCTCTTAAGTTATCTTATAAATTTGGATTTCTTTAGCACATTTTCTTAAATCATTGTCTATTATGAATTAAAAAATCACTATGAATATAAATATGCTACATACTATACCACAGTAAATGTTTGAATTGATAAAAGTAAAATGAAATAGTTTTAGTATTTTAAATGTCCTCTAAGTAACAAAAACAAGAAACAAATAAACAAAAAACACCAGACCTGAAAAATAATTGCTAAAAACATTTGTAAGACATGTCAATTCAACTTACAGGCAGGCATTGAAGATACTTCAGCTGTTACAATACTTTTTATCCCCAAGTTTGATAAGCCACCTCTGATTAAGCCACATGTAAATGCTAAATACTAAAAGGAACAGAAAGTATAAACAATATTAAAGATTTACTAAGATAGTAAAGTTATTGATAAATATGACATTAAGTTAAACTTTGCTATTAATAAGTCATTGCTGTTTAAAAAAATGGTTGTTAGACTTCCCAGCTCCCTGGCCACTAAAACATGGACACATGATTTAAGCCCAGCCAACTAGGTGGTCCAGCTCAGACTCTGAATCTGGAGTGAGTGACAAAAACAAGATGGAAACAGGTAAGAATTCGTTCTAGAGGTAGCATAGATAGCTTGTGTCTACTGTCAGCACTGCCCAAAGGATTCTAACTAGTCCCTCATTGTGGAGTGATTTGGGCTATCTTTCTGGCTGCTTTAAACAACCATGGGAGGTTAAATCATTTTCTGAGCCTTCCCATCAATTCTGTAAACTAATATTTTTACATTCAATCAGAGTTGGTTTCTGCTTTCTTCAGCCAAGAATCTTGACTTATTCAACACTTACAGCCTACCACAACAAAGACTTATCCAGTTCAGAACATCAAAGTGCCAGTGTTGAGAAACACTGTAATGTGGAAACAAGGAAAGGAAATGAGACGAAGATTCAGCAGAAAAAAGCAGGACAAAATTGAGAGCCAAAAATCAAATAATCCAAGGAATTTTTGATTATCTACATTTTTGTATTGCATGATATTCAACAACAGTACTATATATCTATGAATAATATAGAATATTATTATTTTATAATTATACATAAATGGGTGCTGATAAGTAATCAGATCTGGAGTCATGAAACTAAGCTGGAAGAGAACTTAGAGAGTTCATAATATAACCAATTTTAACTAAGGTCCAGAGGGGTTATATAACTTACCCAATGTCACAAACCTATGAATTGTACAGTTAGCTTCAAATTAGATTTACTCGGTCCCAAGTCTATACTATTTCCACTACACCAAACTGCCTTTGTGTTAGATAATTTAGGTATGGACAAATTTTACAGATAAACAGCAGCTTATACATACTGCCCAAGATATTTTAATCACTTCAGAGGAACCCTTACATTAAAACTTGTCAGCTTTTCTTTAATACATCTGGTCTATTCATTGATTCCTACTTGAGACTGAAAAACAAAAATACACAAAACCCAGAAACACAGATATACTTAAAATATGTATTCTCAGGAAAAGTGTTAACCACATCAAATTTCTTTAAAAATTTACTGAAGATTGCAGATACAAACTCTGAGGTGAATAATTTTGCATACATAGCTAATGCTAGTTTTTTAAGCTTGAATATCTTTTCTGATCTATATATGCTATATTGAAGAATCTACCATGAATCTACATTTTAATGGCATTTAAACTACAGTGTTTCTTTAATTGGTCAAAAAAGCCTACTTAGCTACAAGTTAATATAAGTTGTTTTAATGTGAACATTTTCATAGAAAAATGTTTAAATAAAAAAAGAACAATTTAAAAAACTATTTTAAATTTGAAAGTCTCATGATTAGCACTGTACTTTTCCCCATGCTTCTACTTTTTTCATAATAAAAAACCCCAACCTTCTATTCTATTAAATACCTTGGATGCATGTTCTAAATACTGCTTTCCTGCAGACATTTGAGTAAGCAGGCGAAATTTGTTGTCCTGAAGTACATAGATGCCCTGTTCCAAAAATAGAAAAAACATCCAAAGTCAATGTAATCTATAGTCTTTAAAAATTATCTCTTCCCTTCAAAACAAGTTAAGAATTTTATAAAGTTATTAAAACTTCTTTCCATTGGTAAAATGTTCTTTAAATGAAGAAGTTCTGCAATGTTCAAGCAGGAGAGTTGTTCAGCATTTTTAACACTGATATTTACTGAGTGCTTTAAAGAAGATACAAAGATACATAAGACATAGTTACTATCCTTAAAGAACTCAGTCTAGTGTAAAAGAATCAGAAATACATGTCGGGGCGGGGAGCGTATAGCTCAGTGGTAGAGTGCGTGCTTTGTATGCACGAGGTCCTGGGTTCAATCCCCAGTACCTCCATTATAAATAAATAAAAAATTACTCCCCTCACCCCTAAAAACAAAAAACTAAAGAAATACATGTCCAGGTGAAATTAGCAGTTATATGTTATTAACTCCTATCTAGAAGGCCAATAATCCAAGTCACTTCTTCCCATTAGCATTTCAAGTACTTCCAAGCTAAGGCTGATATTCTTATATGAAAAAAATGAATTCTGTTGGCAGCTACTAGATACATTATCTTCATTTTTTTATACTTTATTAAAATTTACATATTTCCTTAAGTTTTAGAAAATAAATCTATTTAAATTTATAGTTTTCTATACAACCTGTGAATTTTTACAATTACAAAATATTTTAAGAGTAGAAAATATGACAGCAAGTAAACAATACAAGAGTTATTTAAGAGTTAAATATGCTCCATGAATTAGACTTCAGAAATTACCTGAAAGACATAAATGTGATGTATTTGTGGTTCTGCATAGTATTACTACTAATAATAACAAAGGAACCAAATCCTAAAACCTTTATCATTCTGATATTTGCTACTTTTTAAACTTAAATTTTAATTGAGGGAAGGAACAGCTATCGTGACTGATAACTGTCCCTTTGTCTTTATTCCCTATATCCTATTAGATAAAAAAAGGAATGATGTATTAACAACATATAAGAGAAACATTCCAAAGTTGATTAGAAATTAAGTTTTATATAATAAGTAAATCACTAAAATAGGACATTTATATTAAGTTAAAAGACTTAAAAAATAGGCCTTAATTTATCTAAATACCTGATGATTTGTCCTTAGATTGTCGATTTGTTTCTTGAATACTGTAGTCCAAAAATCTTTACAAATGAACTTCATGATATCTAACTCATCCTTGAACCTTGCAGTATCTTTTGTAAACCTAAAAAGATCAACTAGAAGTAATACAGTATTTTTCCTCCAAGGAAAGCAGGAGGGGCAAGTTATTCACTAGTTACCAAAAGCCACAACAGCACTGAACATTTACTGACAGTCATAAAGTGATAAGCACCAAGCAAACAGATCCCATCTCAATGGATTCATGTTCTGTTATATAATTATGGGGCTAAAATCAGTCTAACCGTCTATTAGTCTCACAGTAAGCAGCAATTTTAGGCACAATTTATTCCAGCACATCAAAAAAAAACTGAGCATGAGCATGGTATTGTTATATAAAATATAATCAAAATTCAACTATTCAGATAATAAGAAAGGAATACTAAAAAGAATTGATCTATAAACTGGAAGATTATTACATGCATAATAGAAACTAAGCTATATATTTAAACAAAACTCCAATCCGGTTAAAGAACCTAGTAGACCCTAAGTAAGAAATGCAACAAGATTTCAGATAGTTGTTTCAGCATACCCAAGTTTTCAGGAAAAAAAATATTCAAAACATAAGATACATATTTTCTTCAAATATTAAAACATGAAAGTTGGATAACTGAGTTAGAATAGCATCAGACCTAAGAAAGAAATTTCAATCTATGAATTAAAAACCAGAGAATAAATAAAATTTGGGAATTAAAACTATCTCAGGTTTTATGCAGTCTTTTAAAATGGGTCATCTTTGTTCATAACCTACCTGGAAGAAAATTTTCAAATCCATACTGCTCACCTTTCTATCAATCCTTGTCCCACTCGAAAACCCATGTTTTCCAGCTTAGTAATACAGCGTCCATTTTCCTATTTAAAAAAATAATAAAGGGCTTTTAGAATGTGAGAATGTTAGCATTCAAAATTTAGTTTAAGATGTTGGCGAAAAACATGAATGTAAATGTTCATACTTTTTTCACTGAAGCATTTTAAGAAAAAGTGGATTACAAATCATACTTGAATTTTCTTAGTACTAATCATTTTCATCAGGCAATAAGACAAATAGGGAACTGTTACTATTATTACTTTTCAAAAATGCCAAAGCCTCTTTCCAATTACTCTCCCCACCTCCCTTGCCTTCTTCCATTCTCAACTATTCTCTCAGTTATAAAACTGAGGTCAAAGGATCACCTTTGCCTTTTTGTCAGTTATCCCCTCTGTGCTGTCACTAAGTTCTACTGTCCCTTGCTTCAAGCTTTCAATTCTCAGTGTGTCTTAGTTGATGACCCCCCTACCATATGCCCAGAATCATGCAGTTGCTTTGCTTTTCTTTGGACAATCTGAAGGCTTTAAACACCACCCCTCTGTGGAAGACACCCCAAATCCTTCAGATGACCTACAAAGCCCTGTACAATCCAGATTCTTGTGCCTCAACCTTCTACTCTTCTTCACTCAATCCATCCAGCTCCGTGGATCTCCTACCTATCGTTAAACATGCCAGGCAGTTTCCAAACTCAGGGCTCTTGCATAGGCAGGTCTCCCTCCAGATACTCACCTGACCAGCTCCTTTGCATTAAGTCTTCACTCACATGTCACCATCTCAGTGAGGCCCATTTTAAACTTTTTTTAAAACTGCAGTATCATTGGACTTCAGAAACTCTATCCTAGTGATTCTTAACTGTCTCAAGACTAGCAACATCAGTCAGCATGACAGGGGAACTTATGAAAGCTGCAAATTCAGTAATCCCACCCCCAGTTTACTGAATCAGAAACTGCAGATGTGGATCAGTAACCTGTGTTTTAAGAAGCCCTCCAAAAGTGATTCTAATGTTCTATCCCACTTCTCTGCTTAATTAATCTCCAAAAACTTCTTTCACCATTTAACGCAATGTACATTTTACTGATTTTATATGGCTCATGTGCCTCCATCCCCACCCTCTCCTAGAATACAGCTGCAAGAGGGCAAGAATTTTTATCTGTTCTGAAGCCTGTTGTCTCCCACTCACATCACAGGCCTCACCTTTCCCTGAACTTTCTTCTAAGGAGCCATGTCCTCCACTAATGGGTTGGACTACTATATCTGTATTTCTAGTACAGACTTCAGTGGGCACAGCCATCATAGCCCCTCAAATTAGGCAAATTCAAAATGATACCATCTTAATGTCCTCAGCCTGCTCTGCCTCCACAATTCTTTTAACTTCACTAATGGCACCACCATCTATCTAGTTACCACGAACAGAAAACTTCCATTTTCTTCACCTCTTTGCTTTCACACACACTGCAGTCCTGTGGAGCTTATTGTCCACATGCTTCCCAAAATCCTTCTTCTCTCTCCATCCTTACTGCTTAAGTTAGCCCTTATTTCTCTCCCAATCTTCAATTAGGGCTTTCCAACTGATCTCATCTCTAGTTTTTTTCTTCCTTTGATTTATCTTCTGTATTTCTGGTATTATATAGACTTTCTAAAAGACAAGTCATGTTGTTTCTCTACTGGACCTCTCAGCACCTTCTAAAGTCAAACTCCTTCGTATGGCATTATGTGCCTCTCCTTAAAAGATCCCAGGCTAGTTACCCAGAATCACTAACAGCCACGTATCCACAAACATGCTTCTTCCACCACTCTGAAATTTCTATAGCGAATCCAGAGGCATGGTTTTGTCTGCCTCCATGCCTCTGCACATGCTGTTCCCTAGACTGCACACCCTTTAAGTTCAGCTCAAGTATCACATCCTCCCAGAAGCCTTCTCTGATACTCCTTTGGGTCCTATACTATTTTAATACTCTGAACATACATCTGTTATTTATCACTATTCTTAGTTTTTCTGTTATTTTCCACACTCATTCCCAAACATGCTCAGGTAGAATGAGTACCTGTAAGTCACAATGCTCTTTATAGAACAATCTGCTCTTTGTTCAATCACCTAGGAATATATTGATAAGCAGGAAATATGCTTATATGCAGACATTCTCAAATCTTAACTATGATCACATGAGCTTTTGAATGAAGCCCCAGTAAAAACCTTCTAATTTGTTACCTGTTCATTCACTTTGGCATCTGAGTACTCACTAGTAAGTAAAAAATTTTTAAGAAAAATTAAACTTGAGAATATTGTATCCATTAATCTGTTAAAAACTCTATCTCCATAAATTGGTAAATGCCCAGTTATTCAATTTTTAGATTTAATTTCTCTTCAAGCACAGTTTGAAAATCATTGATTTGGAGGGTGAGAACATTGTTTTTTTCCTTTATTTCACTTCAACTTATGACTTTATGTTTGAAAAGACATATAAAAACCATTTCTGGATGATAGGTATCATGTCTTTCTTTTACATTTTTTATTATGAAAAATTTGAAGCACACTCAAAATAGAGACGGCAATATAATAAACCTTTATACACCTAGATTCCACCATGGATTCTAATCATCAAGACTACCACATAACTTTTTAAAAATCCTTTTTGCTTAGATGCACTTTCAACTTTTTCCCCCACCATTTACAAATTGCAATAGGAAAAGAAAGTCATTTTTAGTTTAAATGATTAAAAACTTAACGATTTCCTTTCTCTCATATGACTAGCACAGCTCTCAAAATTAACAGTCATGATTAAAACATGTTTTGTTTTATTTTCACTAATCCATTGGAGAAAAAAGAGAAGGTTTAAAAAAATGTTTTCCTGGGCAAGAGCTGGAAGAGGGAAAGAAAGTAGAGGAAAATAAAGAGAATTGATTACACACGTGGTGGGGTGGGGAGCAGTGGTTTTATGATAAGAGTAAAAGGGATGTGCTGCTAATTATTCTCTGGGGAAAAAGGTAGAAGGAAGACTATCTTTGCACAAACAGCAAATGTCTGTTACTCAGCACAGATGCTAAACATTAACTATTGGTTGATGATGACAAAGTCAAAAGTTTGTAACTTGGAAAAATTCTCTATTACAGATGGTTCTGAATAAGAACAGAATTTGTTTCATTTCCAATACCCTTCCTGATGCCTTCTTACTAATATCTCTACTGCATAATGCCATAGACTGTCTGTCTCCCTCAAAAATTCGTATGTTGAAATCTAACCCCAAGTGTGATTTTATTAGGAGGTAGGGCCCTTGGGAGATGATTCTGTCATGAGGATGGAACCCTCAAGAACAGGATTAGTGCTCTTATAGGAGAGATCCCAAAGAGCTAGCTAGCCCCCTCCCACCATGTGAGCACGGAGCCAAAGCGCATCCATCTATGAACCAGGAGGAGGCTTTCACCAGTCAATGGATCTGCCGGTGCCCTGATCCTGGACTTCCCAGCCTTCAGAATTGTAAGAAATAAATCTCTGTAGTTTATAAGCCACCTAGTCTGGTATTTTTGCTATAGTACCCCACACAGACACTGTCCTTCTTGTAGTTTAAAACTGGCAGTACCTCTTCCTGGATGTCCTACAGGCACCACAATTCAACCTGTCCAAAATAATTCATTAACTTCAGCTCTTCTTCTCTATTCCCTCTCCACAAGCTTGACCACCTAGCTGCTCAAGCTAAAAACCTGGATAATTTTTAACGCTCACTCCTATATTTAACCGAATCCTAGAAATTCTACCTCCTATCTCTAAAACTATTCTGCTTCTCCTTATCCAGATCTTCAGCTCCTTCCTGGACCCCTGCAATACTGAATCTTCTTACAAGGATCTTCCCTCTCCAGCCCAAATATTGGATTTTCTTTCTGAAATGCTAATGGGCAATGTCATTCCCCTCCTTAAAAATCCTCCACTGAGAAGACCCATGTTTTTTATTCATACAAGGCTCTTTCTATCTTCAACTTTCAATACTTCTCACTCTCCACCTGTTCAATCAAGCCACAGTGAAATGCTTAAGCATACTTTTAAACACACCACACTCTTTCATACCTCTGTGCCTTTACCTTTGCCTAGGATGCTTTCCTAACCTCACATTCTACCTCTCTTTATCAGCAGCATTATAGAAAGAGCTTTTGACTTGAGCAAGACTTTGGAATATCTCACTTACAAAATCCTACAACTCCATGATTTCATATCTAATTACCACCCAATACATTATTCATTGAACCCCTATTCCCTAATGACTGGGAGGTAGGGACTATCTTATTCATCTAACAGTGTCAGGCCCACAATACACTCTTAATATATTTTCTGAATGAATCAATGAGTGAATGAAGACTCCCACACATTAGAAGTTATCTCCACAAGGATGGGGCCATTATTTCGTTCATTACTACATCCCCAGCGCCTAGCTTTGACGTATAATGGACACTAAGTATATATTTTAAAATTAAACTGTTTCCTAATTATAGTAATGCCTGCAAAGTTTCCTTTGCTTTTGCCTCAGCTCTCATTAGCCTTTTTTTTTTTTTTGAGCTGCCTGCGGTGTTACTGAGGGTTAGCGATGGGAAGGGAGGGACAGGATTCTCAGCTGGAGACGTCTGTCCAGTGGACGATTCGGAAGTGCTGGAAGTGACGACAGAATTAAGCAGGGGTGCCAAAATCAGCTGTGCAGTTAACTCTGCTCCAATCATAGTAGGGACAACACATGGAAGGGACAAAACTAAAAATCTGTAGACTGGACAAAGAAGTATCAAATAGTAGAAGATACGAAAGAGATAAGGATGGAAGAATGGAGACAGCTGACAAGTTCTAGGGCTTAGGATACCTGCAGGTCGGCCAGTCTGTCTACACCTTGGGAGGCAATGAGTGACGACGGGACAGGGGTTGAAAGAAAGCACTGAGTGGAAACAAGGAATGTCGCCGCAAAAGGACCGCACGGGCTTGTGGCAGAACTCACCACCTCCCCCTGCTCCGCGGACTTGTACACTCCAGACACCACCTCGTTATGCAGAAGCAAAAACAACGCCTCGTCCGCCATTTCCTGCTTATTCTTCCCAGCTCGGGAGCCGAATCCCGTTTGGGCCGGGCTCGGAGGTTCCGGCTAGAGCCTGAGCGGTTTGGCCAGTGCCGCGGCTCAGTCCGCAGGCCGTCCCCCGCTGAGAGGAGACGGAGGAATTCACCCAGCTTCCGGAAGGGTGGTACTGGACTCAGCCTGAGCCGGGGCGAGCCCACCCGAGGGGCACCAAGTCCTTGGGCCGAACGGGAAAATCTGACAGCGGCGGGCGCCAAACCCAGCCCGCGGAGACCCGATCCGACCCCTGCGGGTGGGGGCGAAAACACAACTTCCGGTCCCGTCTACCCGGCGTTCCGCCAGCTCTATGGTTACCAAGTTCCTTCCCGGGAGTGAACTGCTGGCGCCCAGATAGGAGAGAATTTCTTTCCCACACGCCGTCGAACACGGCGGCCGGGGGAGGTGGAAAAGTAAGACTAGAGGAGATCGGCTGCGATCTCTGTGTTAATGAGCTATGTTAGAACTACAACAATTTCTGTTAGCTTCATCAGAGGTTCCACTTATGCCCTATGTTCCTTGATACGAAAAGTTGTAAAAACAAAAAGTGAATAAATCGTCATTTTTCAGGCTATGAATTTTAGGTATATTGAGAAATTATCTCAATCCATTTTGAATTAAGTTTGGGTATACAAAAAAGATTTAGAGCCGTTTTGGCCACCATCAAGTTTACTGGGTTTACGAGGGGGATGGAGTAGGCAAAGAACAAGATCATTTGAATCAGAAAATTCAAATGAAAGACTTAAGAAGTGCGACGTCACTGTGGGACGGAGTTCAGATAAGAATGTACGGCGGATGTGGGACTTAACTCCTACAGACGTGCAAATACATATGTTAAATCACATGCAAATCTTAAATTTGGCAAACTTCGGCTTAAACATGTTGCTTAGCCTATGATTAGTTCTTAGTAATTCACAAAGGAGGTTTTTTTCCCAATTAATTCATTGCTTCCCCCAAATTAACATGTTGAGTTTTCTCAAATTCTAAACAGTAACCTCTCAACTCTTCATACCCTTTCACAGTAATTTAAGATCATGTTCCCGTAATTGGAATTGTGCCAGCTTTTTTTTTTTAAAAAAAACATGTACCTTCTAATGTTTGGATCACCTTTTTCAATCACCACATAAATCAAGCATTTAAGTTTCACCTACTCCTTTGAAAACACTTATATTGAAGAGTATTTTGCAATCATAATTTTTCCAGCACTAAAATTTCCCATATGTGAAATTAGGTCCTTTATATCCTAACTGTATTCTCTCTTCATCACCAACATCAAGGAAAAGGTGTCCAAGCCCATCACTGAGGTCAAAGATTAAGCAAAAGATTGGCAACTTACTAAGGTTGATTTCTTAAAACTACAACAACATGTGTTCTTTGGATATTTTGGAGGCTAGAGAGGAATATATTAATGTTCAACTAAATGTTGAACATGGCATCCCCTTGATTGTCCCGCATAAATAAGAGTACGTTAAATTCCCCAGGATCTTAGTAATAGATCCTATGTAAGTAGGAATAGATCCTACGTTTTTGGCTACCTCTAAAAGCATCTTCCCATGGAAATGTCGTTACCCTTCATGGTTAGGATCTACTGTTACCAGATTCTTATGCTTCACCTACTGCCTACTACACAAGATTGTAATAAGGATCCATGAGACCAAGTATGCTCACATCAGAATCAAACAATTATTTATCAACCCTCATCCCTCTTATCCAGCTTTACCTGTTCTTTTTTGTTCAGCACTTAACCCATTTCTACCATGCTATGTTATTTACTTATGGTTATCATCTGTCTCCACACTCTCCCTGCCACCAAGCTCCTTGGGGGTAGATAACTTTATTGTACACTGATGTATCCAAGTGCCTAGAATAGCGTCTGGCACATAGTAGGGGCTTAATATGTATTTGCTTAATGAATGAGTACATGAATGATCTTTGCTCCCCGAGGAGCCTACAAACTCCATGGAAGCAGGAACCGCAGCTATCTTGTTTTAGGCTTTTCCCTCAGAGCCTAGCTTAACCCAGTAAGAACTTTCAAGGATTGTTAGATGAATTAAAATGGTAACTCCGGTTAAATACAGTTGGGCTGCTAATGCTTGGTACAAGGATGCCTGACTTGACAGATGGAGAATGAAAACCCAGATTATTCATAACATTGTCTCTGTGGGGAAATGCTTCCTGAGCTACAATTTGCAGACACATTTCTGAAACAAAACCGGTTCTTAGGTTGGCAGTGCAGGTAAAGCCGAACCAAAAGCTGACAACACTCTCACACACAAACAACGGGACTGCTCCCCCAGGCCCCATTTAAACCAGTCAGCTGTAGGCCGAGTGTAGGGGCTAATGCCCGTCTCATCTGTCCCACTGTCGTTTTTCTTGCAGTATTAGGTCTGAATGATGATTCCAGGCCGGCGTGACCTAGCGAGTTAACTCCAGTATCTCCAGTCTCAATTTCCCTATCAGTAATAAAAGGCATTTTATTCAAACTCTTGGTTTGTGGGGGATAAGGCACGTAAAGTGTTTCACACAAATTACGTAATTGTTAGCTATCACGATGAAAGGCTTTCCCCTTCCTTCGCTCTTTGCTTCCCTCGGGTGTCTCTGGTTTACCCTCATCAAGGGAAGCCCGCGCCCCTCCCACCCCTCCTGTGGGCATGCGCACCAACAGAATGGCCGCACCCTCTCCTAATCAAATCATTTGCCGGAGAAGGGGGAAAATAGACTCGCCTCCGCCCTACTCTGACAGGAATGGGTGGTCAAACGGTAGGAGGCATGTCATATACGGGGTAAAAAGGGCTGGAAAACTGCGCTTCCCTCACCCAAAGAGCCGACCCGCGAACCCACGTCTCCGAGGACCCGGGGACTCTCAAACCCGCCCCGGCTCTGCGCTAGAAGCAGAGCCCAGCCACCCGCAGCTAACCGGGGAGGGAGGCACCGCCTGGCGGACTTTTCATTGGCCCAGAGTCCCACAGGCCGGCAGCTTCTCCCCCTTCCGGTTGCTGAGTGGTTGAGGCCGAACTACAACTCCTCTCGTCATTGGCTGAGCCCGGCTGTCAGTCCTCTGGCGTCTCGCAGCGCGACCCAGCCAGGCGCGGCCTGCCGAGCAGTCTCGAAGCCTGCTGCAGGTAGAAGATGGCGGTCGCAGTGAGAACTTTACAGGAGCAGCTAGAAAAGGCCAAAGAGAGCCTAAAGAATGTGGATGAGAATATTCGCAAGCTCACCGGGCGGGATCCGAATGATGTGAGGTGAGGAGTGGATGGGAAATGCCGGCCCCGAGGGCAGTCGTGAAGCCCGGGTGAATTGGGGGCGGGGAGGGCGGCCAGCCCTGAGGAGGCTGGAACATCGAGGCCTGGTCCCGGGCAGTCGTAGAACCCCGTCCTTGCTGAGGTGGGAGTTTCCCAGGCCGCCGCCGTAGGTCCTGGGGCGCAGGTACGTGAGGAAGTAGAGCGGGCCTTGGTTGCGCCGGGATGGCCTCCTGTACTGTGGAAAGGCCCGGACTGCCGATTCCCGCCCTCGGCCCTGCAGGCCCGGAACTGCTGCACAAAGCCTTCCTCCCGCCGAGGCCCCGGTCCGGAGCTGGCCCGGAGACCCTCCCGGGACGAGCCGCCCCCTCGCCCCTCGGCGCTTGCCCACGTGCAACTTCCTTGGGTTGGCAAAATTCCGACCTGATCCAAGCTTGTTAATGGGTAGTTGCACCGAGGTAAATATAATTTCTGTGCTAGTGATCTTGGAAAAACAGGGAGGTTTCTATATAGTACTTCCTGCCTTGATTCAAACACGTGGCTTTGAAACCGTCATTTTAGAACTTTTCTGGTTATTTTCTCTTGATGATGAACTACGCCCGTTAAAGTATTTGGTGCACTTAGATATGATTTTTGTACTGACTTGTAAATATCTCATAGGCCCATCCAAGCCAGGTTGCTGGCCCTTTCTGGTCCTGGTGGAGGTAGAGGACGTGGTAGTTTATTGCTGAGGTAAGATTTCCTGAGGATTTGATTGATTTGCTAAGATCATTGGCACTTATTATACTAAATTAATGTATCGACTTAAACAACATTCGTGGTAGAGCCAATGTTAGAAATGTTTGTTTTGTTTAAAGCTGTGATCAGCCTTAGTTTTCTGTATAGTTACCCTTTTAACTTCATTTACATGCAGAAATGGAGATTGAAGAATATAGTAACTGTATCAGTCATGTGTAAACGTTATTTTTATTCCCATGTAGTTTTTTTTTCAATGCTGAAAAACTACCTGGGAGTAAATGCCCATTTAAGGTTGCTTTATTTAATTGGAAGGGTTTTTGAAGATTGCAACTAAATTCTCTTTCTTAAATGAAAATATCATTTATCTAAAATTTCAAGTGCTTTATGTTGATCATTTTTTGTTGCAGGCGTGGATTCTCAGATAGTGGAGGAGGACCCCCAGCCAAACAGAGAGACCTTGAAGGGGCAGTCAGTAGGTATGTTAAGGGACAAGATTCTGAAGGCATATTTGTGTGTTCTGTCTTTTGAGGTAGCATGCAAACTAAATATTTAATAAATATTATTTTGTTCAGTTGTATTAGAATTAGTATACCACTTTCCCTGAGTTTGTTCCCCTGGTATTTAACTAAACTGAGACAGCCGATAACCCTCAGAACTCAGTTGTTCACAGTTACTGTTAATAGAAATTTTACCAAAGCAAAGGTCATGAAAAGAATAGGACTGAGAAAAAGGTCAATTTGTGCCACTTTTCTGTCTTGTACTTCAAAAACTAACCTGCTTGAGAAGTATAGGAGATCAAAGTTTGGATTGGTCCTTTTACTACCAGAGGAAAGAGTAAAATGTGATGGAGACATAGAATGAAGCTTCTGGAAATGAGTCCTAAAAGTAGTAGTTTGCCCTTGGTATGTGCTGAAGTCCAGTTCTGCAGTGGTCTTTTAAATTGTTTTTCCTATGTCAGGCTGGGCGGGGAGCGTCGGACTCGGAGAGAATCACGCCAAGAAAGCGACCCAGAGGACGATGATGTTAAGAAGGTAATTGAAATTAAAGGGACTTCATAGAGTATGAATATAGTGTTTTCACCTTACTGCATTTGAAAGAGTGCCACTCGCATGCTAGTTAAATTACTGAGATTTCTTTT